CAGACTGCTGAATTTCATGGAAGATAAGGACGGCCACCTGACAGCGGGCGCTGATATTGGGGGGTGAGGCCATGAAATCTGGAGGTGGAGGCCAGGCCAAGTCCTGCCGGAAGAATGCGGGCGATATATAGAAACTCTTATTGTCCTACATGTAAGATTCAGTCATTTGGAGTCTTCATGTGGAAGAAGACACAGGAAACATCAGAGGCTTTGGTGAAGCAAAGGTACTTAGAGCTGATGTAGCAGTGTGTGGCCTTCAAAGAAGCGCAGTATATATTTTTCACTGGACATTGTGACATGGTTCTTAAAGACCCCACGGGTCTTTGTATAGGTCTCCCCATGTTCATGCACCCCGCATGCCTTGGGCATGGTCATTTGAGCAACAAGAGCCGCCGACGCCACCGTCCTCACCGTGTGTTGGTTCGACGAATCGTCCGTAGCTACGACGTCGACGTGGGAGACGATTTCGTGTATACTGCTGTGGATTGGCAGCTTGACTACAGGGTCAACAACATCAGAAAGATGATGGAAGAGGTGCCCTTGACTACAGACCATCCATGAAACGGGACGAGTTAAATTGGAATAGATGTACCCATATCTACCAACATGAACATGACTCATCCAGGCAGCATTTAGTGAACTATTACATATAATATATATATATATAAATAGATGATCTGGGTCTTGAAGCAACACTGCAAGATTGCTGTTTTGCAGGCCATGGCCCAAATGGGAGTTCCAACAGATCTCCTGGGAGAACTGGGTTTTCGGGCAGAGCTTTACACTCAAAACAGTGAATCCATGTTAAAATCTATTTACAGTGGATTAAAGTCGGTTAACTTTGATTTCAATTCATGTTAAGTTCACCTCCAACTGAATTTACTGCTTGTTCCTATCTAGTTGGGGGGGGCTATCAGTGTCTTCAAGGTGCAAGACGAACCCATCCTCCCCATGCAGTCACCGAACCCAGTCCGGTGCAAGACGAACCCATCAGGCACGCGCCTGGGGCCTCCGCCTCATCGCGCTGCATGTGCATCGAGACAATTGGCCACTCGTTGAGCGGGTGGTTTGGGAGGTGGGCGCCATTGAGTGAGCTACGAAGCTACGAGTTCGTACCTCTTAGCTTCTTGCTACTTTGGAACAAGAGAGCTACGAACGTAACAAAGGGCATCGCGTTTTTCGGAACAAGAAGCTACTAGTGCCCCTTACAGCTTAGGCTTATCATGTTCTGCTCATGATCATGATCATCATCACCTTTTCTTCATTTCCAGAACCGGCCCCGGACATCGAAATCAAAGAGTTCAAGACGATGTTTGCTCCCATTTGGGGTGGAACCATTTCAGGTGCCCGGGACCTGGGCATCTCCTCTTTGGGAAGAAAGGTCACCTGCCCCTCCGAGGTCTGCACTTCGTTTCTACGAAAAGAAAGGCTTCGAGGCGTGGTGTGCCTCCGTGGTGTGCTGGCTGGGAACTGCAGGAAGAATCACAGCAAAATCAGCAGAGTGGGCACTTGCAGAGTATCCTCGGAGCAAATGCTGGCAAGTGGTGATCCTATAGGCAAATGAAAGCTTTGCGAGTCCAATACTACAATGTTGAAGTTTTTAGAGCTTGGCTTAGCTATCCATGGTGCTGGCTTGACTCCGCTCCGCAGACTCCGAGCTACTCATATGCGGGCCATATCGCGGCCCATTCTTACAGTCCTCCAAACAGCTCACCTGGAAGCGGAGTGGTTGTCACTCCCTGTTCGTAAAGGAACAGATCGTCGTCAAAGGGGACCCTTTGTCGACTTCCATGTTGGAGTGAGAGATCGTCAGAGTGTAGATCCGAAGATAGTCCTCACATGTCCCTTTTTCCCACTCCTTTCTGTCTATATAGTGACGCTAAGCCTTAGTGATGTTAGAGTTGGTCGTTCTTCGTCACTTCTGAGAGACTGCACGACGAGCACTGACCTCGTCGTCGCGAAGCAGCTTCGGAAACATGAAACTGTTGACAAGAACACCAGTCCCTGCAGGTCAGCTTGACCTCGTTTTTACTGGAGTTGATTAGTTGATTACACCTCAAAAACACTCATCAATGAGGTAAAGGACTAAGGGACTACTGGGTCTTTGGGTCTGATTATTTATAAATCATTTATTCCAGCCCACGCCGTGGAGGCTAGCTACAGTAAGTTTTTTGTAGCACGATTCTCTTGGTCCTACCTGGGACCGCGATCCCATCCTGAAGAATCACTCAGATTGCAGCCATCAGACGCCGCCTGACCCGCGAACCACCTCGCCGCCGCACAGCGAAGCACGCCAGCGAACGGCGAGCTCATCGAGCTCATCCACGTGTCAGGTCACCTCGGATTGGCTCGGCTGGGGCAAGAAGTTCTTCCTGCTTCTGAAGCCATTGTGCTGAGACACCCAAAGGGCCTTGGTGCTGCTTTTGTTTGATGAAACAGCGCCAGATGTGATCTGATCAGAGATGGTTCCTCAACATAAAGATAGGTCCAGGAAATTGCTGAGAAGAAGTCAGTGGATTCAATTGAAAAGAGGGAATCCACAATGCAAGGATGGACATTCACTTTAATCCTGCAAAGCATTGTCACACATGTGTTTTGTGACGGACAACTGGGAAGAAACAACTGAATCGGTAATGGCACCACTCTGTTTTGGATCAGGTTTATCCAAGTGATCTTTATATACCGAAGCAACCAGGCTTTTTGGTGCAAAGGGTTGAACCTGAAGAACCAGGCAGTAGGAATGATGCCATGGAAGCCCACGCCAATGCTGCGAGTTTGAAGATTGCTTCCCAATTCATTGAATTCGGCCAGCGAGTTGTCAGGGGTGAACAGAAGACGGTCTTGGAGATACCCGGCTCCTTTAAAAAGAACGAGCACGCGGCGAACTCAACTTACAAAGGAGAGGTCATGGAATCATGGAAGGTCGAATCCGGAAGATGTAACACGAGATGTAACACAAGAGTGCGTCACTCTGTGTGTGTGTGTTTCAAATCTTTCTGCAGCTAATGAACACCTGTAGAGTGAGTGGACCCTGAGAGGAGAGAGTGTCAATGACGAACTTGTTGAATGCCACGGAGTGGTGTGCGCAGTTGGGGCCAACTCCTGCAACTCACGGCCACCCAAAACAGAGGCGTACGAACTGGCGTGCCAACGGGTCCAGTGCGGGGAAACTCCAGAAACGGCTCCAGTCTGACTGAAGAAACGGGGGTGACCCTCACTGTAATTGACCAGCACCACCCATTTCATAGACTTAAGAAAAGCAGCTATATCACCATCGTTGTAAACAGGTATAGTTGACCTACATTACTGTACTATTATTTGCAGACTGCATGAGGTGGGCGGCTCCCATGTTCGGTCAAGCAGCGCAAGCAGTTCTGCAAGACACATGGTTTAACCGCCTAGCCGACGGCTGCGGTGATAAAAGAACGCATTTCGCTGCCCATCCAACAAGGCTAATTGGTTTGGGACCATCGCTTTTGGATGGCAGAACTCTTGCAGGGACTGACTAACCAGAGAATCCCCGAAGAATCTTCCAGCTGCCACTGGACCCCAGTCACCTACCCCGTGCCGCCTACTACCCCTTGTTCAGCTCATTGAAGCGATCGCTTAAGTTAAAATGGCCGTGCGATAATCGGGTGGCAGCAGGATGAAGGATCTGGTGGCAAACAGCAGTGAATCGACAACCTCATTTTATGTGGTTTCCATGCTGCTGCTGTTCCTGTGGTTCTTGCTATTCTTCTTGTGGTTTTCTTGCTGTCGTTGCAGGTGCAGGTTTTTCCGAGTACTGACCCTGACCTCCCAGTTCAGTCGTGTTGCATGGCAGGTGTTGGCATTGCTAGGCATGGCATGGCATGACTTGTTGGTAGAAAGAAGAACCCCCTTTCGGCCTCTCTGGACCAGTGGATGTTGGTAGATGTGGGGTATGCAAGAGGAGGTGGGAAGGGCGGAACGAGGTTGGGATCTCCATGGTTTCTTTGGGGAATATGGAACGTTGGGATCTCCTGTTGGGACTCCCTCACCGAAGCTGAAATGGGGGCATGCCATAGGAATGCCTCTTTCACTCGTGAGAAAGAAAGTAGACTGCATCCATCATATGTGATGAACAATGGTCTTAAAGGGGGGAGCCATTTGACAAATGTGAGATATCTTTTGTATGGACACTGGTGGGCACAACCGAGCGAGGCTTGCGTCTTTCTGCCTTCTAGTCCAGTGGGAATTTATTTCAACCACCCTTGGGTTGGTTGCTGGCACACCTTCGTACGCTGGCACTGGTGCCCCAGGCAAGGGGACCTCTAGGACCATCGTCTCGGAGCTGGAGGAAGATGGACCAGGAAAAGACCATTTGGCCGGTGGAACTCCGCTTCCGATCACATCCTTCACCTAGAAACGACTAGTCGTACACTGGCATATGACTGTACATTGGGGTGGTTGAAAGGGGGGCTCTTGCTGGGACGGCAAATGTTCCATACATCGAGTGTCGAGTGTCTATGTATCACGTCATTACGCCATCCACTGATGAAGAGTAGGCCCCAAAGCGGATCAAAGCGGCAGTGGTTGGAGTGAGAGGTGATCAGTTTCAGGTCAAATGCTACAGCGTTTGACCATTTCTGTCGGATAGTTAATGTAGACTCTCGATTAATAGATAAAACCCTCCATTCATGTGGATTGAACAACCTTTTCATATAGGGGGTTCTATTAATCAAGAGTCTGTTTATCTTCCAACAACCTTCCCATGAATGAGCTCTTCACGCTGTTGGCTGGAACGACGGTACGGGGCTTCGTTTTCGGTAACGTTCGTATATGGCGACCCAGTGAAGCGGGAGGTTTTTTTCAGACGAGATTGTTTTTTGCATACCCACTTGTTGTTTACACAATATGTTGGTCAAACCCTTTTCAAGCATCCATTGCTACTGTGCTTGGGATTTTATCCTGTTGTACGTTGTACTCCTAAGAGCTCTTGTGGCTCCTTTCTGGCTCTTTCAAGCTGAAAGCATGCCTCGATGACGGCTGAGGAGCAGCATGTGGTGGTGAGGTGTTGTTTGTTCGGATTCTTGGAGATGTCCCAATAATGGACGTAAATCAAGCATCATATACTCCTGGTACTTTGGTTTTGGTTCTAACATGTTAGACCAAATGATCATTGGTCCTTTCTTGGGTTGTGGAAGGGATGAGTGCCTGGTCCTGAACAAGACAAGGAGGGCGACTGTGGACGATTGAGGCCGTATAACGGTGCTTCGGTCTGGTGTGTGCGGGTTGGTTCTTTTTGAGTGGGTTGGAGCGGACGTTCTCGCTAAGCTGATCATCAATTCGCCCAGACTTTTTCAGCATAATGAAGACTGGTGCACGTTGGAGATAGGACAGGACTTGTGGCTGAAGTTTTTTACCCCAAGGAGAAGTAATTTGATATGTGGCGAAACAATGGGATGCACAATGCAAATTGCGTTCCAGCATTTCATGTTCCATTTTATGGTTGTGTGAGGCTTTGCAAGTTCATATAGTCATTGTGAACGACAAGGTCCGTTCACGAGGAGACAGGGGTAGGTGGGTGGGTACTGTAGGTAGGTAGATAGGTAGGCAGGTAGGTAGGTAGGCAGGTAGGTAGGTAGGTAAGTAGGTAATTTGATGGACATACAAAAAATGCGAAGAAGTGCTTCAGGTTTACTACAACATCTACCATTTTGTAAGCCACCCAACGTAAGATCCTTTTAAAACTTGAAATGGAAAGGTGGCACGGAAGAACGCGAGTGGTTGATGTCCATGGGGCCTGGCATGGCCAACTATAGATCAACCATAGGCCTGATAGGCCTGCCGGGTTGCCTGTTGGCCGCCAAGCACCTAGAAGCAACTTGGAGTCGTGGCACTCGAGGCAGAAAAACTAGGAGGAAGACAGGATGTCCAGTTCACATGTGGAGCCTCACTTGGACATGTGGAGCCTCACTCGGCGGCAGCAGATGGACAAGAAACACAGAGGAACGAACGCCAGCGCTAGTTGCTAGCTGTTCTGTGATGGAGGCCACGCCAGAAGACATTGGCAGAAATGCAGTGCCATTGTCACAAGAGCGAGATATGGCGAGATCTGCCATGCATACGTGGGTGCACCTCCGCAGTGTGGGTGCACCTCCGCAGCAGCCCGGCCATCCTTCAACTCGTGAAGGGCTTGTGCCCTGTCGGTCGACTGAATTCCTTGCTCCAGTGTATGTGCATTACATTTCCATGCATCACCCAACACCCTATCACCATCCCAAACTGAAGTCTTCACCATCACCCCGCATTTGAAACCAGGAAAAAGGATACACTCCCTGGAATGATGGTGGTCACGTGGATGGAAAACGGGCCCGAAAGGATGATCACTTTCCTTTGCATGCACTTCGTTGTCCGATCTCGACCTCCGGTGTTGGAGCTTGCTCCAGGAACAGGTCACCGAGGAACCCTCCGGGCCACCAGTGGCGCCCCGTGGCGGCTTTGAGTCGGCTGGGCTGGGCTGGAAGCAGAACCTAGAGTGTCAAGGTCTTGCTTTTGCGGCTAACAGGAATAACTTCCAAGGAATAATATACAAAGTAAATATACAGTATATGATATGTAACAAGACAAAGTCTGGTGAAAAAATCATGCGTGTTTGTTGGTTCTAAGGATTGTGAATGCTCGTATATACAGTTTATATACATCTACGACGGTAGGATGATAGTGTTCTTTGTCCTGAAGGGTCTGTGAGATGGACTCGGTGATCTCCATCCCCCAAAAGCTTGGGAACCGGTTCGCAGGCGCTTCCGGCGCAAGTTTGCGCGCGACTAGATCATGATAGGTGTCCGTCCCTTGTTTGTGACTCACAAGCACTCACTTGAGCAAAGAACGAACTTCATCGATATCATAGCTTGAACTGCAGTGCTTCAGAGTGAGAGCAATGATGCTTGCTGGATGTAGATAATAGAGTTTGACTGGAGTAGAGACAGGTATCGGTATGGGTACCGACATTCAAGAGCAACATGGGCGCAGCGTTGACAAACCCTCTATTCCAGGACCTTTATTAGCTTTGATGAGTTTAACTCGGCACGCAGAGCACTTTGTCCCGCCTTAGCCACGTTGATTCTTTTGCAATTCAAGGATGACAGAACCATTTGACGTATATGTCGAAGGTGGATTGTCTCACGTTTTCATGGATTCTGAACAGCTTGCTATTGGGGCCCTGGCTGCTTTTGCGGCTGTTGCCTCACTGTGCCAAGCTCTGCCCAGGCAGGAGGGCCGGCCGGGGAAGTGCCACCTGATGTTGCTGAGATCCCAGGGCTGCGACATGCCTTGCTAGAGCTCCGGCGCACCACAACTCCTTGGACGCTTGGTGGGACCTTTTGATGCTCCCCAAAGCGGTGCTCCGCCCTGCTCCCCGGGGGGGCGCCTTGCGGCGCATCCAACCTGCCCCGTTCACCATCAGGCGCTGTGCCCGTTGAGCGCGTGGAGTTCCTTCAACCGATGCCGCCACAGACAATGTACAGACCCCATGGTTCTTGCTCAGCAGGCCCGATGTTATTGGCTCGCTGCAGAACGGGGGCTTACGAGCCTTTGCTGCCCTTGTGGCGCCAGTTTTGTTGGGTGGCGATGTGGCGGTGGTCGCCCAACTGCGGGAGAAACATCCCCACGGGCCACCCAGCCGAGCAGAGGTCCCTGACATTACTTCGGAGCAGGTGCGGAAGGCCATACACAGTTGGAAACGGAGCAGAGCCGCGGGCCCCACTGAACAACCAGATGACTAGATGCAAAAAATGTGCTTGCTATGTTTGAGTCTTTGAGCTTGCCTTTCCGTAGGCACACCTGCTGCTGTTCCCGGCTGGTCAGCGAAGCGTGCGCTTGCACCACCGAGCGCAAGAATGTGGAGGAGGAGACGGGGTGCAAAATCTCGCTGCGCTCTCGAAAGCAGGGTCCGCGAGTGTTGTGAATAGAGGGGCCTGAGGAGTCCTTGCCCCGTGACCACCGGCTACAAGCACACTGCGGGAATCACAATGCAATCCTTAATCCTTAGTCGGATTGCCTTGCACAAAGAATGGAATACGATCTTCAATGATTTCCTGCAATGGGCAATGTTCAGCGCCAAAGCCAAGCAAAACTTCACCATTGCCTCTTAGTTCTAAAAAGGCAGGTACAGATCAGTTGCCGTTGCATGGCTGCTTGGCACTGCCATCATTTTCATGGGCGGCGCTTGTGACATTGAGTATAAGCAGGGGCGAGCCACCTGGAATAATCTATGTTATAGTTGCCAAAGCTGTGCAGATGGCACCCCTGTGAAAGTTCAGGTGAAGGCCACGCTACTAGAGCGATTGCAGATGTTGAGCTGCACAATGGAGTGAGTGAAAAACGATTGCGCTGATCATCTCTGCCGCCTGGGCTTCCACATCGCTAGAGCCCGAGCAGAAGAAACCCGTGCTTCTCGACTTCAGTGTGAGTGCCTGCAGTCTGTGGCGCTTTGTGCGGTCTCCCCCGCAGGGGCAAACCTGTCAGGCGGGCAAGGCCCGTCAGCCGCAGCCGCCGCGAGGACGGCCACCCTTGGGCTGGCTGCCCGCACCAAAGAGAGCGTGGCAGTTGAGATTAGGCACTCCAGATTGAGAACACCAGAGCTGTGCTCCGACATTTGAACTAGGCGGAGGCTCTTCCGGGCAGGCCTTGGACGGTGGGCTACCCCTCTTCGTAGCTTATCGCTGCTCCGCCAGCAGCGCGTATTTTCATCCCTCTGTCCGCCGCTTCTCTGGGTTTCCATCACCTCTGGGGTGTCAGCCAGGTCTGTGTCCTGCATGTCTCTGCCATCTCACAATGGGACACATTCCCTCACAATGGTTGGGTGGGACGTTGCTTTCACCATTACATTGACAGACCAATTTCACTTTCGAAGCAGAACGTGATATTGCTTGAGGTTGTTGACATAAGTAGCATTTCCATCACCAGAGGCGTTAGACGGTTGTTTGTTGTTATATTTTGATATAAACAATACAACAAGACATCATCACATTGCAAACAGGGCCTTATGAATCCTCACTATTGACTCCAGTCCTCGTTGGGCGAGAACAAACGTTTTAAATTATAGATACAATTTCTGACACATGTGTAGGTCAGGAAGTCAGGAAGTGATCCATCTGATTTTGGTCAATTTGTATATATTGCTCCCTGGGAGGGCAACCATCCTTTTGGTGATCCACTCCTTTGGGAGACTCCCTCATCTAATAGTTTTAGGCACTGAAACTTTGAACTCGAGACTCCCTCTCTGTGTTCTCCAGGTCTAAAGTTCTTCTTCAAGCTGTTGGTTCATCGACCTCACACCTCAGTAGTAGAACCCAATAGAGTCTTAGCACATCGGTACATTCGAGCCTTTTCAGTGGTTCCCTTCTCCTCCACCCCGTCCAGCGACGTTTCGCACGTATTCCAACGCTTGGGTTTCAGTCCCAGTCACCCGACGATGGTTACACGATGTTTTAACCCTTTCCTCCCCAAGAGCACAGCGGGGCTGGGATATGTCCACCAGGACGTGTCCTTCTTTCCATGTCTAACCCCATCCTTCCGTCACCGGTCAGACTGTCATGCACACCAGAGAAACCATGCAAACCCAACCCAAAGGACCATTCTTTCCTTCCACCGCCAGAGAACAAGCTCCAGAGGGACCCAGAGCGCGGTTTTGCTGGATCTCTCCCGAGGTTAGCGCCATCCGAGCCGGCGGACGAGCCGCCCGCGCCCGCGGAGGAACCGCCTGCGGCGGTTCCGCCCGCGGTTCCGGAGGAGGCCAAGGCGAGGGTGTGAAAAGAGGAGTCTTGGGTGTTTGGGAGCTGGTGAAATTGATGAGTGGAAGATTCGGCACATTCCTGCACCATAGGGTGTGTTTCCATTCACCAGGCCTGGCAGAGCCTGGCATTGCTGTGAAGACTGCTGTTTGTTTAGCATGTTCCTTCGATCAATCTTGACGAGCAGAGACGGTTTGCTTGACAATGATTTTGATTGCATGAAGTGAAGCAGACGACTGTTTGTTTGCTTTGCATATTGGTTTGCTTGGTTTCTTTGGATTGTTTCATTTTCACCGAGAGGTGACGGTCCTAAAACACTCAAACACTTGAAGAAACGGGTGTGTAAAACCTGTCATCTTCCAGTATTTGTTTGAATTTGGTTTGATTTTGTTGACGGCCTATGTGGCACTGTGGCACTGTCATGTGGATCCAGGGAATATATGGGAGAGGGTTTCCCTAGTGGTTTCCCTTGAGCGTGTGCCTGTCATGTGCCGCTTCGGACGTTCGGACTACGACTATCAACTCCTGCGAGGCCGATGACAACGAGGACTGCCAAGATGACGTCCATGCGTGGATGGTCGGCCAATGTCGGTGACTGTTTCGTAGGAAAGCCAGCCTTAGCCTGGTGTTGTACTTCGGAGGTCAGGGGTCTAAGACAGGGTCTAAGACAGGTTCTCAGGGGATCTTTGCATCTTTTTTGTGCTGGTTGAAAGCCTGGGGTGGAGCAATGCTGGAGATGAGGATGAAGGGAACACATCCTGACGTGTGTTTTGTCGTGGTTTCGTAGCACAAAATTGTTTTATGTTTCTGGACTCCGGGGGATCATGGTGCACCTTCCGATAAGCCAAATTGCTGTTTAAGGTCCTGGGTTCCCCTTAAAACCGTCTGTCAGCTGGCCGGCATGGGGTGGATGCAAAACATTGTAAAACCCAAACCCTTGGCCAAGCCGTCCCAAGTCGTTTGCGTATTGATTTTGCTGGGTTAATGAAAATTGTTTCTATAGTTCACCACTTCAGATCGAAAAGATCCACACAGCTGGAGGGTGACATCAGCTTGCCATCGTCCTCGTGACCCTCCAGGAGGGGGGTCTTCCAGAGGTTGGACGGGTTCCGCGGGGTCGTGGTGACATGGGAACTCGTGGGAAGGCTGAGTTGATGGTATTTGTGTAGATGACTTGGGCATAATATGTACACATCAATCACATGCAATCACCCAATAGCCCCAAGTTGTTTTCCGTGAATTCAAATTTGGATGGTATATGATAGGTTGGAGTTTCCTATGATGTTTCGGAAACGGACGGCGACCTCTCAGGCGCTCCGCACCATGGTTGGTGTGCCAAGGTTGGTCAGCTTCGCCCATCGGCGTACGTAGTCTGAGTCTCCGGATGTGATGGTGGTGATGAGTTTCGGAGGCGTCAGCGGTCATCACCTGTAAAACTGGACCTGAGACCGAACAAGGTTTGTCACTGACCACCTGTTTATGGCCTACTTGCAATCCAAGTGTGGTGAGAATACTTACGTAGCTACATAAAATTACCCGTAACTGATCGTGACTGTATAGGCTGCATTTGTTCAAGGATAATGACCACTTGACTTGACAGCCTGTGGGGAACCAAATCCAACAGTTTGTTTATCAATGAAGCTTTGACACAAACATACCTCTTCGTGCATCAGAAGCGTGTTCTAACTGACAGGGGTGCCTCCAATTGCCGGTTGACCTTCCCCAGGGCTAACATATCTGATATGAAATTCTTACACGTGGATGTGTCTTGAAATAGGGATACATGTTAACTTAACCAGCGTAAAAAATCGACCAATACCCATTGGTTTGGGGTGCTTGGTGTCTCCCCTATAACAAACATAATCAAGGTGGAAGCTCGAACTCGACACATGTCAGCTAAGGACTCGAGCAAACCGAGTTGCTCCCACACACACCGTTTCACTGACATGTGGAGCAAACGGCACCTCCACTGGTCCTTCATGGCACCAAGAAGACGCCACCACCTTTTTCAGCGACTCAGTCCCTTCAAGAGGTCGACTTCGCCGCGCTCCGGCGGGAGCTCGCCGAGTCACTGGGCTGAGTGCAGGGGCAGGGAGGTGGAAGAGACTCCGAGACCATTCAGAGGCACCGACCACACAGTGACAGGCGTAGTCGGCGGACTACGCCAGCTGTTTCCAGGGATCCAACGAGATGGAGGAAAGCCCCCAGTTCATCCACACGAAAGTGGGAACACCCAGATGTTTTCCTTTTTTTTTAGAAGGGAAGTCCCGCCGCACGTGTGTGAAGACCAATATCCAGGTTGTGGAGGCCTCTTGGACCTCAGAGATTTGGGACATCAACGTCAGGTTTGCCTTCTTGAGAAAGGAAGGCAGAAGACCCATTCGGAACCGTTGATGTTGTTCCCTCGAAATGAGAGCCAACCTGAAAGAAGCCCGGAGCTCTACTGTACTTGGACTGCACCAGCTCGCAAAGGTATTGAGACAGCTGCACTTCACCCTGGGACGCAGTGTGCCTTTGTATAGGTATGACCCCCTGCCCCCCACTTCACTTCTGCCATCAAAAGCTGACCACGTAGCAGAACATATGTCATGCCCCTCCAATAGAGTTCTCCAGCAAAGTTTGTTTCACTCCCCCCTAAAATGACACCCAGGAAAGCCCCTGTTGCTAGCCCTTTGCAATGGTTCCACTCTTTTTTTTTTGCCTCCGGGTGAACGAGCCTCGGAAGAGCCTCGGCATGGCAGGGAGAAGGAGCCGGCACCAGTGAGGCGTTTTTTTTCCGCATGGTAGAGTCGTTTCTTATTGTGTGCGTCTTCGTTTTTTGGAACGGAAGGCCATCAACATGATGTGTGTTTCTTTGTGTTAGATGTGTTTTTGTCAGTTAGGTCAGGTCTTGGTCTTCCAGTTTTGGACATCTTCAGTTTGGTTCTTCTGGTGGTCACGTCCTAAGATCTAGAACTTGCGAGATTTGGTTCAATCTGAAGTGTTTGTACTGCAGTAAGGCTTGTTGGGTTCAAGAAACTGTTTGGACTGTTACCTGCCAACCAAGCACAGAAACCGAGTCACAGCCTGTTTGTCACACCTTCACCGGTTGACTACTGTTTGTCACCAGTTGCTCAGGACCCCCTTTTTAGTAAGGGGTCATTGACCACGGCAGGGACGAAGCATCTACACTGTAGCAACTATCAGCAACTATCAGCATCATCCGTTTCGGGTGACCATTGTTGTAGATCCACCCTCCATACACTTCCTTGGTATGTGGGCTCAGCCAAAAATGCTCAGAAGGGATTGTCAGGTTCCCGAATACTCCATGTATGGAATACTTATGTGTAAATATATAATATATATAGTATATTATACAGCTGACCCCTGAAACCAATGTAATATAGGCAAATCTTCCAGTCCTATGGATTTTTAGGAGTTGATTTATGGTTCACCATGTTTCACTGGCGCCCGGACCAAATTCTTCCGGTCACGCCTCGCAAAACCCGGGTCTTTTTCACCCACCTCATCCCACCCGGTCACTGGTCACCGGTGCCAGGTCGGCGCCCTTCGCCCTCTTCGCCGACTCGGCGTCCATGCAGGGCCGAAGACCCAAGCAGGAGGACCGTCTCACGGCTGGGCGGCGGTTGATGTGTCCTTTTCAATGGGGAACCCTAGGGCTCCAGTCGTACCTTCGTTTCGTTTCGGTGGGACTGGGGTGGGTGCCAGGAGGGTCCAGAGACCTTCTGAGGAGGTACGACTGGAGCCTTAGAAGAAGAGTCATTCCACCCGACTGCTACGTACTTTTTCGTAGCAGTGGACGAAAGGGTGGACTTCGTTTGGTGGACGACCAAGTCTCCACGGACCAGGAAGGGAAAGCAAGAAGGGATCGAGAGCACGCTGGGTACTGGATACCGCATGCTTTGGAAATGTCCATTGGTATCAACTACTGTCACTTTCCAACCTTCTGCATAGGACTCTGTGAAGCCAGGAGAGTGTTTCCATAGGATGGGGATAGTGTTTCAAAAATCTGTCCCGCCACACGGACATCAGAAAAGCAAAAACCATCAGAAAAGCAAAAACCTTGGAAGAAGTGGGGCTGTTTTTTCCAAACGCAATCAGATGATTATACACCTTTCCGCCTGTCTGAGTCTAAACCAGAGATCTGTCCTACACATACGTACATGGACCATTCAGAATGCAACATGCAATCTGACATGGCCATCGTATTTGATAGTCCTGTGGTAAGACTGACTCTAAGATGTAGCTGGTATCGCCGCCGCCACCCACTTTGCTTGTTGGTAGTGCCTTAGCCAGTTCACCTTAAAAAGAGAGACTCTTACTCTTACACCATTGGGGAAACATAGGAACATAGGAACATTATAGGAACTATCAACAGACTGGGCTGGCACTTCTCAAAGGCAGTCCACCCAGCTAAGGTCGACCTTCCCTTTCTGTCCACCCTCGAGACCTGTCCACAGGACAGCTGGTTCCACGCTAGGTCACCAGATCCACCGACCACGCACTGACCACCCCAGTCACGCGCTCCGCGCGGGCGTTCGGTCGGACCGAACCCATCGCAGGATCGACATGTCAAGATCCCAGACCTCACCAAGGCGGCCAAGGCGCGTTTCGCACGGCCACTCTGCGTGTGGTCCGATCTCCGCCCCGGCCACACGTGATCGACCTCTGTGTCTTTGAACAGGTGACAGTGTGGTGTTCGGGTCTTTTTTTCGGCGTTTGGCGTTTGTTCATATGTCACGTTACATGCCGAAGGGCCTGCATGTGTGGCCGTTGCCACCCAGTAATTACTTGGGTGGTCGTACACTGAAGATACCCGACAGCTATTCATACCATCTCTTGGTAGGACAATGGGTGGTGCCATTGAAGAGTGGTCTAATAAAGCCTCTAAGGCTTAGCTTTGCCTCAGGACAGCTATCGCTGTGCCAATCCTATACAAGGTAATCTGTATTCTCATCTAGAATATAAATACCCTAAACCTGGGGGGAAAGCTTCGCCAGGTCAGTTTAGGGTTTTGTGCTTCAAGGCGAACATCATTTTCACAAAATGATTTTCTCTATTGAAATTGGCGCTGGCCATGGTTACGGGATGTTCCTGGCAAGAATTTGCACCAAAAGGGGGTTCTCTATTAAAGTTAATTGGCGCTTGCCACGGTTACTGGGTGTTACTGGCAAAGATATATGCAAAAAGCATCTTACCAAAAGGGTTTTCTCCATTAAAATTGACTCTGGCAATGATTATGACAAAAAAACATTTTCCCAAAATGAGTTCCTGTAGCAAAATTGGAGCTGGCCATGTTTACTGGCAAAAATCATCGTCCCAAAATTAGTTTCTCTAGCAAAATTTGTTTACTGGCGTAAACTGGCAAAAATCATCTTCCCAAAATAGTTTTCTCTAGTTAAATTGGTGCTGGCCATGGTTACTGGCAAAAATCATTTTCCCAACATGATTTTTTCTATCAAAATGAGTGACGGCACCCCGCGCGAGACGAAACTATCCGCGCAGCGCGAGAGCTCGGGGCGCTGTCACCGGTCTAGAGACTTCAAATTGAAAATTGTCCAAAATTTGGTGGCTGTCACAGCGGGGTATCCTTGGCTACAATTTCCACTGGGTTTACTAGTAAACCCTGGCTCTCTTGGGCTTCAACAAGGGGCTTTCCTAGAATTTGAGTTTTTTCTGTTGGGTTTCTCTACGAGGCTTTGGGTGAACCCGACCGAGAAGTTCGTGTGCGTTTGTTTCCTCATCGTTTGTGCAGCAAGTTGTTTTGTATGTGTCGAGCCAAAGACGACGACAAACCGGTGACCGCTCAGATGCCACCACGTTCAATGAAGAGGGGGTGGTGCCATCTTCGCATTGGATCTTCGGCTGCCCTCAACCCTAGACACTTGAGGAGGAATCCTTAAGAGATGGGCAAGAGACGGGCTACAGCGAACAAGGATACCGAAATGCACACCATGTGTTTTGCTGATGCCTTGGTGGATGCCCATTTATGGCATTTGTTTGGAGTGGCAGCGTGCAGACCGGAAGAATTTTGGTTTCGCCGGTGAAGACACATAAGTATACATTTAATCATGCACAAAGAATCATGTATAGAAAGAAAGGTACCAAAAATCATGTAATATATATATATATGTATATCGGGATCACTACAGGCGACTGCAAGCTGTCAATTCAACCTGGTTCCACTCAAACAGAAGTTCCTATACCCCCTTCTGTCGTTGGTTTCAAGGTCTTGCTGCCCATCTGCATAGCTAATAAGTTTGAAAACATCACTCAGTTCTCTCGGTCGCTTCTTCCTCAGGCTCTGAAGATGCCCATCGATCATCTCCCTCAGCCCTGCGCCTTCTTCTCGGTCTACGACGGGCACCAGGCCAGGCCCAACGATGGCCAGGACCAGGGGTTGGTGTCGCATCGAGCCGAGCCTGGCGCAACATGTTTTGACCAGGTTCGGTGTCCAAGACGAGTCTAAGGTCTACTGTATCACCTGCTTGGCGCGGATTGGGCGCTTGTTGTTTTCCCTATAAAAAGGGAAATGCTTTTACTTTTCCCCCGGTCCCTTAATAACTCAATGGTCAAGCAAGTCGAAATTCACCATTGACTTGTTTTGCCTTGTCTCTTGGGCGACTGCGATGGGAGCCAGCCTCAGGGCCACCAATACCATAATCAGAAACCCTTCCTCCCTGTCGAAAGATTCCCGAACAGGGTGGTGGCAAACCGGCAGGTGACCAATCCAAAATCAACACTGAATAGGACCACAGACCAATCTATGAGCACATTTTTAGACAAACCGTTGCGAAAAGACATTTGACATTTTTGGCTAGGATTTGAAATTTGTCCCATGTTGGAAAATCTTTATGAACATCTTACCAATTCAAAACCTTAGATATTGGTTTCTATTGGTTTTTATTCATCCAACATCAACTTGCAGAAGATTTTTATCGAGAAACCGCCCCTGAAGGATTTTTTTCCACAGATATCTCTTTGAAGCCAATGTTCCCTCAGGTTTGCGTTGCCCAGGGTCCATGCACTACCTCCGCCGACAGCTGCGCCGTTTTTGACTCTCCGTCCCATCCACGGCGAGGGTCAGCAGTGCTCGGACTTCGCAGCCAAGGGTTTCCATGGGAAGCTGCTGAAGCGGGTGCGGTTGATCTTTTTTGGTGTGCGGGCTTGTGGGTTTGGGTTGACACAGGTGAGTGGGAAAGAAAGAATCAAAGGCCTTAGATAGCCATAGACAGAGGCGAGTGGAAAAGAAATTCCACTGAAAACGGTTTATCCCAGCTGTTTTCGGTTGTTTTCGGGTGCTGTTTGTTTGGTCTTCCTTCGATGTGAGTGCCGAACAGTTTTTTTCATGCCTGCAAAGAGCCACGGTTGTGGTTGCGATGCCCATCTATTCAAAGAAGGTGTAAACCCTAGGATTCCAACCAGTATTTGATTTAATGGTTCTCACCGAACTATAATAAGAGTCAGAGTTATTGCTAGTTACTATTGTTTTACTTGGAAATTCAGACTGCAAAACCAGGTTAACCATGTTTTGATGGTTTTGTAAGAATACGTAGGATAAAGGGGTGTGTATTTCAATAGGTGGAGCCTTGGATGAAGGCAGGCATACCAGTATAAATTTGAGGGTGTCCTTTGACCCTTGAATGCATGTTTCGGGAGATGACCCTTTTTTTTTCGATTCTCAAGATGCTTCTTTCCTCTCCAGGTTCGAAATCAAGTCTATTCAATTCGGGGATCTCTACATACGTAAGATTAAAGGACAGGCGGACAGGATTTGGGGGTCAGGATGCGCAAACGAGGAAACAACCCGCCGCTTCTGCGTGCGATGTTGATGAACGAGAGAAAGGTACTCTACCACTACTGCCACCACCACTACTGTAGCGCCACTGCAAGGAGTACCACGCCTACTTACCTACAACTACAACTACCTACAACAACAACAACAACAACTACTACTACTACTACTACCACCACCAAAACCCCTTGCTGTTGATGATGGAAGAAAGTTTACCACAAATCCAAATTAAGTATATAAATAAACATCACTAAATATAGCTTTTGGGTGGTTTCAGGTGCTGCTGCAGTGCTGCTGTGTTTTCATTCTGAGAAATCCACAGTAGTAGGACTCTCCCCCAGTCGCTGGTCCAAACCCCGTCCGAATCGTTGGCCACGCCACCGTTGGCCAGTTGTCCGCGGACACCGACCCTGCTGCCTGGACGGAGGAGCGGATATGCCCGGGCACCCAGGCGCTTGGGGTTCGGCCCAAGGGTCAGGATGGGTCAGGAGTCAGGAAGGGTCACCATAGGACTAGGGAGGGATAAGGAGGGCATGGGACTCTCTGAAAAGCATAACTAGGAGGGTGGTGCGTATTGTCTTGACAGGAGTTGCAAAACATTCTGCGAAGCAAATCAAATTTTTAGGTCGCCGCATCTGAGAGTTTGTTTGGTTCTGGAGTGTTCCAGGCACGGGGCCAGAGCAATGGATGTATGATATTTGTTAGCCAAAACTCACAGAGCTACTACCTACACTTCCGTCTTGTATTTCATAATCTCACTGCAGGGTAACGGCTTGAGAGTGTACTTGATGAACCAACAGTTTTTTGAACAAATTTGATTATATACTGTATGTATAGCAGCGGGAACCGATGACAGGGAATAAGTTCTGCAGGGAACATAGATTTCAGATTCACCGCGTACACCTTGGTGAGGTATGAAATTCTACACCTGGTGTATGTTTTATTATGTTTTTGTTGTCGCTTGCCTCCCGGTGAATGCTCGCCTACGCAGCACCAGAGACACCCCGCCTGAGTATTTGCGGGTCCCTCCGTTGGGGCTTGGTCATACTGGAACATTGGTTCGGGCCCATGCCAAGCACCATTCTTGTTCAGTTCTCCAAAAAAAGAAAAAGGAACTTCCCAACACTGTCATGAAGTTCAGTCCCATGGGGACTTCAAAGCACCATTGATCTTCATGCAACTGGCCATTTTCTAGGTAGCACCTTGAAGGAGATCTGCGAGGCACCTCTCCGCGTGGGGATGTTCTGCGGCCCAGAAGCCACTCCTTGTCAGAACATCAGGGGCTTCGTGGCGGATATGGCGGGTGTTTTCATGAACATGGGGCCGATGATGGATGGCCTTTACATATACACAGCTTTTAGTCCCAAATCTGTTTCTCCATTTCACTTAACTTGACTTTACAACCGACAAAGGACAGAAGTGAATTTGAAGTAGATAAGTGGACTTGCTTTAACAGGCCATGGTACTTTTGCTCCGGGCAGTCACCAGTGGTGAGTGATCCGGACGCAACGTCTCCTGCTCTAGGTGAAATCAAGGGACAAGAGTAGTCTCTAAATGCAAAGGTGGTGATCGCTTATAGAGAATGAATTCGTGCATGCGGCATGCGTTTTTTCTTCTTTTATTGGTGTAACTGTAAGTCTTTTGGATATTTATGCTCTGGAGCTTGAAATTTGAACATTGACACGAACCCATCACGAACGCAAGACGCTCAAGGAAGTACGGTACTGTACTTCCTTGCCGGGAGTGGGGGACCCCGCAGAGCGCAGGAGCTTGATAGCGAGTTCCTACAGAAGTTTCGGACCTCACCGGATGGCACTACCCTGGCGCGGTGCTTCAGACGTGGCTTCAGGACATCTTCGTCCCGAGCTGTCTGGGGAATGTATATATATATATATACAACATAATATACATATGTGTCTGCCAGCTTCTGACATCGGGGCTGCTAGCCCATGACCTCGAGGTTTACCCTTGTTCGCACCCTCGACGAGACGAGCAGAGAGGGTGCTTTCCCCTCAATCTTGGGGGGTTGCTCCACGGAGCGGTGTGTGGGGGCTGTGAAGGGCTTCAAGTACTGGCCTCAGTACCCCTTCAAATGGTTCAATCTCTTTAATGGTTCAAACTCCACATTCCGATCCCCCCTCCCGGGTCGCGGATGATCCTGGTATAGATGATAGATACACCATGGAGGTATACAAGGAAATCACTATTTTGGGAGGAAGGCCTGCAATCTAACCATCATCATCCACTGTTACTGGGACCCCGATGGGAACACACACCAAGACTTTCAATCTCTGCACTGACCTGGCTTGAGACACAGGGTATTCACATCTTTCGGGGAAATCGCCAACGTTTCAAACGTTCGGACACCCTTGGCTTGCTTGGCATTAGGGGTTGGTACCCTGCTGTCCATGGCATACCCAGGTTGGTTAAGGGTCAAGAGGTCTACCTGGAGATTGACAGATATCTCAAGCAGGTCAGTCCAACTGCAAGAAATTTCAAAAATCCTTGGCGCATCAAGGGTACACCATTACCAGCACCGGAAATGCTCCATATTTCCTTCGAACAACTCGTAACCAACATTCGTTCTGCTTTGCATTGAGCTTCATGCCAATTCGCACCGGATTAGGCTACTAGTACGCAGCTGCTGACTAGTTGTCTGTGGGCACAATACGTGCTCAGATAAGCTTGAAAGCAGGAAAAATCCACTGTTACAGGAATTAGGATATACCCAACGTATTTAATGGCTTGAAATGATTCTATCATACAATATCCACGGCCCAGATATTTCTTGCCGGGATCACAGTGTCCCACAAGAGTGTATGCGCTCAAGAGCGTCCTTCTAGACTGTCCAACAAGAGCGTCAAACAATATTTGGCCGTTTGTTTAGTGCGTGCGTGCATTCGGGTTGTGGTAAGACGCGAGAGTCTACCGGCGTGAAAGACGTAGTTGCAGAAACGGGTGAACTTGCCTGGCTTTTACTTTGTGGATCAGGTGAGGTTTTTCTTTTCCATTATATTCCCTCTCGGTCCGTAGCCATTTTGGCTCAAGAGTCTGATTTCAATTCAGTTGAATAATTTCTGAGTTCAATTCGCAACATCAATTTCGATTGGCGATTGACTCACTTCCGAAGTGATCAACTGTTTCGATTCGGCTTGGCGGTTTTCAGCACACCTTTCCATATAGTACTAGTCAACATGAATGATTTGACAAATGGAGTGGTCCTTGGGGCTTACTCAATGCCTTCATCCAGCCAGATCCGTGCAGCTCAAAGACGCTTTCGCAGTGCTACTATGCATGTCTTGCCTTTGCAACATGGAGCATCTGCAGTCCCAACTCTTAGACGGAGAACAACATCAGTTACCATCAGGATCCCATCTCTGCTTGACCCTCTTGGTGTGGATGCCTTTGCCTGCATCCTTGCGGCGTACTTGATTGTGACATGCTGGCCTCATGATGATATCCAAAAAGCACGAGGACATCTTGCAGCCTGTCTCATTGTGTTCATGCTGTATCTTTCTCCGGGTATCAATCTTGGGGCTCTGAACAACTTTTCACTGAACTCAGGTGCCAATTTTTCAGTGGTGATGGACTTTGTTGCAAATCCTCAAGATTTGGTTCATCCCCATGCCAGGTACAGGTCCACGTACTCCTATGAGAGATCGATATGCTCTAACTTTCAGGATTTTCCACTGGATGGCGCCTCTTTCACAGGAGGCCCTAGATTTGCAAGTCTGGACCTCATTGGGAGATCGAGTCCAAAATGTGACGAGAGCGTATTGTGAAGAGTTCCCACATAGCCCCCCCCGGAAATGACCGTCCTTTGTCTGGGCTTGCAGTCGGACTTGCTCGAGTTGTTCGTGAATTGGGTTTGACAGCTGTCGCTAGAGTAGCGGCACATGCAGGCCATCCATGGACTGAGCTAGCTGACAGAGTTGCCAAACAACGGCCAAGGGCCAAGAAGCAGGGCAGCCCAGATATGAATGGTTGCATGAACTGGCATGTAATTCTCTCCAAGTTGAGTGGTGGTGGACAGAATGCAGTCAAGTGATTGGAAACAGCGTGCATATGTTCCGTCCGGATCAGAGCTTGGTCGGTCGGCGAGGAGCCTCTCCTGCGCATCTCGTCAAACCCCTCCTGGTGGAAGAACAAGCCCTTGATCTGGATTTTACGCGCTTAACCTGCAATGCCTTAAGCTTGATTGACGCAATAGGAGACAACTCTGGAGCAGAGTTGCCAGGGCTGACTGGCAATTGCATCAAGCTGGAGTTTTGTTTGCTGGCTTTCAGGAAGCACGCACGTCAGAAGGTGTCAGATGCACTGCCAATTACAAGGTCTTTGCATCAGGATGTAGCACCTCACACAAAGCTCGTCAGTTCGGCTGTGAGTTACGGGTGCATCAACACTTCGCATTTGACACTGCCGGGACGATTCGTTTGGCTCAATGTAACTGTTTTTGCAGAGTGTCTGAACCAAGACTGCTGATTGTGCAAATTGAGAATGCTGCAGGGATCTGGTGTCTAGTGGTAGGTCATGCGCCATACTGGAATGCTGGACATGACGATGCGTCTGTTTGGTGGAGTCATTTCAGCGAGCAAGTTCAGAAGTGCCCAGCTGGTGCACATATGCTCTGTATGATCGATGCCAATGCACCACTTGCTACTCATCAATGTGAGTTTTTCGGCTCTCAAGGGGCTGAGCCAGCAGGGGCCACGGAGGTTTTCGAGAGCACGCTTAAAGAATGCGGCTTGTTCGTACCACAGACCTTTGAGGGTATCCATCAAGGCAGTCATGGTACATGGAAACATCCAAAAGGAGGCTGGACCAGAACTGATTACATACAAGCCTCCAAATCCTTGGCGCAAGGAGCCATTCAATCACAATGCAGGCAAGCTTTTGATCTCGGATTCACCCATGAAGATCACGTGCCAGTTCAGATGGCCTTTCAAGCTGTAGTTCCTGGGATGGTGCCCCAGAATGGTGCTTTCCGGATTGATAGGCAGCAGTGTCAAGATCCAGAGCCCAAAAAGACCTTTCAAGATAGCCTTGCAGATTTGCCGTGGCCAGTATGGCATATTGATCAGGAAGCTCATGCTGAATGGTTAGTGCACCAGATTAAATGCTTAGCCTTGCAGCATTTCCCCACAAAGAAAGGTCGTCAGCGTCCACCATGGATGTCCCATGAAACTATCGAATGGATTGTGTGGAAAAGACAAACGCTCAATGCGTATCGGCAAGTCCAGGATCTTGAGCTCAAGGATGATCTAAAATGCGAGCTCCGTCAGCTCGAGAAAATGGTTCGCATGCTTTGCAAACGGGATAGGTCAGCTTTCTTTGACAAGATCGTTGAGCAACTCGCAGAGGCAGGGCAAGCACATGATACCCGACTTGTCATGCAAAAACTAGCCATGTTAGGACGCAAGAAGAAACAAGCTGCTAGTAAAGCCCTCCTTCCGAAAGTGAGAACTCTGGAAAAACATGTTCCAGCGACTTACCAGGACCAACAAATGATTTGGTTCACTTTGTTTGTTGAGGTAGAGGCAGCTGTTGCAGTTTCGCCAGAGTCCCTGGAGCAGTTTCAGGATGATCTGCCCAGTCTATATGGGCATCTAGAACCAGGCGATATGCCAAGTCTGTCGCAGGTGGTGTCCAAGATTCGTCGCCTTAAGAATGGCAAAGCACCTGGGCCAGATCAACTGCCAAATGTGCTCCTCAAAGCAGGAGGAGAAGTGCTTGCCAGGCACCTCCATCTCCTCCTCATGAAGGTAGCAGGGACAGCTAGGGAGCCTCTTGAATGGAAAGCGGGTACTGCTATTCCGCTTTTCAAAAAGGGAGCTCATACTGACCCGAGAAACTATAGGTCCATCTTTTTGTCTGCATGCTTTTGCAAAGCTCTCCCACGCATGTTTGCGAGATCGGCTTTCGTTGACACTTGAAACTATTGCCAGCCCAACTTGTTTTGGCGGAAGGCCAGGTAAGAGCACTGACATGGGTCATCACTTGTTGCAAAGCTGGCTGCATTTTGCAGCGGTGCATCAGATTCCTGTTGGTATTGTCTTTCTTGATTTGCACAGTGCCTTTTACCATGTGCTTAGGGAAGGCCTTTTTGGGGTGCACCTTACGGATGATGCACTGTGTATAGTCTTGCTTCAACATGGTTTCAGTGAGGATGATCTTCGTGAGTTCGGGGAGCAAGCTGTAAAGAGGATGATGTCTCAGGAGATTGTAGCAGCAATCTCAGGCATAGAGTCCGCGATGCCATGAGGGCTACGCATTTCCGAATCCAGGGTTTGCCGCAAGTAGCTAAAACGGCAAGAGGTACCAGACCGGGAGACCCTATAGGAGACATTCTCTTTAACATCATCATGCAGCGCATTCTATGTGATGTTCGTGATGAATTGCGCAGGATTGGCTCTCATGACGTTGTGCAGCATGGAGTGCATCAATCTAGCGCTCATGTCCAGTTTCTCGAAATCTCTTTCTTTGATGATGTCGCTGTGGGAGTCTTACACCCTACGACTGAGGGAGTCATGACTGCTGCTGCGCAAGTCATGCCCATTTTGATCGAAGCAGCCAGAAAGAGAGGGTTGAGTGTCAACTTTCAACAAGATAAATCTGAGCTGCTAATCAGCTTTCGGGGAACAGGGTCTTGTAAAATCAAAGAAAGGGTAATGATACATCAGAAAGCCATGGTGCCAATTGTCACGGAGCACGGTTGCAAAAGCTTACGTGTCAGTCATTCGTACAAGCGCCTTGGATCTTATCTTCAAGCTGATGTGACTCCGAAAAGAGAAGTGCAACATCGCATAGCCACTGCAAAGAAGGCATGGGGGCCTTTACGTCGTTCTCTCTGGGGGCGAGAGGAAATTTCGATTGCAAGCAAACTGAAGCTTTTCGATCCCTCGTCATGTCCAGGCTTACTTATCACAATCACGTATTGGCAGTTGTTGGTCAGCAGGAGTTGTCTCGGCTCCATCAAGCCTTTCGTGAAATGGTTGTTCCTTTTGTTGAGCCGCAGCTGAGAGGGCTTCCTCCATTCAGTTTCAGTGCAGAAACTCTGGCAGGTTTGCTTCACATACATACGCCTGAAATTGCTATGAGGTTGCAGAGGCTTCGCTATCTTGCGCGAGCATTCAAGCATGTTCCTCCAATTTTGTGGCATCTCACAGAGAGTTGTACTGATGATCTCGCTTGGAGTCAGAGGGTCCGTACCGACCTTAAATGGCTTCGATCCCAGCACCCGAAACATATTGGCCTGATTGATGAAGATGCACCTTTCCAAGAATGGTGCGGTTTCGTTTCTGCTCTACCTGACTGGAAAGCGCTTGTTAGCAAAGCGGCCTCGGCTTGGCTGCGATATCAACATCGTCTTGCAGTTGGAGAAATGCGGCGCAAACTTTTGCATTTTAGGATCGAGCCACACGGTATCCCTATTCGATCTTCAGATTCGGCAGAGGTGCAGCGTTATCAATGCGACATGTGTGCTGAAGAGTTCACTACCAAAAGAGGGTTGTTCATGCATGCTTCTCAAAAGCACGGGTATCGACCTCTCCCAAAGTTTTATGCTGCAGGTTCGTATTGCGCAGGTTGCGGGACTGAATATCATGTTCGTCCGAGATTCATTGCTCATTTAAGGACTGCACATCATTGTTTAGCGCAGCTCCGAGCTGTGTTTGCGCCTCTTTCATTAGAAGAACTGCAAAGTTGCGACCAAGAAGATGCTGAACTGACCAGGCAACAGCGTAAAGTTGGCCAGCATGTCCGTAAGGCAGTCTTGCCAGCATGCAAGGTCCCTTTTGCGGCTCTGCCCCTTGTTGGTACTAGTGATGCTGAGGTTATGCTAAGCAAGCACATGGCATAACCGACGGTATCTCCTTCCTGGGAAAGTGTCAGTGGGCATTTTGTCACTAAGGAAAGAGTCGATGGCACAGCCCTCCCAGAAGGGGGTTTTGTTTTCCAGTCGGCAGGAGGTGCAATTGAAGGAGATCTGCGGCGCTTTTGTGAAAGCTCCCTTCTTGGATTAGACCTGCATTTGAATACCCAAGAAGTTATCTTTGTGCATTTGTTTGCAGGTCATAGGCGCCCTAAAGATCTCCAATGGCAGATTGAGCACCAAGAGTTTGTTGGCAACCGACAGATCCTTTGCCTCAGTGTCGATCTGTGTCTTCAAGGACAAGCTGGCAACTTAATTGGACAGCATGCCATTGACTTCTGGGTGCACCAAATACGAAGTCGAAGAACCATAGGTGTGGGGGGGGGGGCGGGCCCATGTGAGACTTGGACCGCTGCCAGATGGATGCCGGGGGGCCCCCCCCTTGCGAAGTCGACATCATCCGTGGGGTTTGCCACACAGCGGTAAACGCCAAGATCGACAAGTTTGGGTTGGCGCTCAGTTGCTGTATACCCTGATCACACTGATGTGGGAGGCAGCCATAAGTGGCGGATGCGCCTGGATCGAGCACCCCCAGATTGCTCTCTGGGCAAAAGAAAAGCCAGCGCCGTCGATTTGGCGGCTCGACGAGCTTCGATGGATGTCAAGGCTGCAGTGCACGACCGTCATTTCCTTCGACCAGTGCACGCTTGGAGCCAGTGGGGTCAAGCCCACGACCCTTCTGTTGATTCGGCTGCCACTGTTCAGACGACTCGTGTTGCAGCAAGGTCTTGCTGGTCGGTGCCCACATGCGCCTGGACCGCACGCTGCTCTCAAGGGCAAAGATGCTGAGGGAGCCTTTTGTACAGCTAAGGCGAAGATTTATCCTCAAGGGATGAACCACCTCTTGGCTGAAGCTATTTGAGTATGTGCGCACATACAACTTGAAGCGCACTACTTGCTTGCCCGTAGAGCTTGAGTGTTTCCGTACCGACATCAGTGGGATCACTGACGTCCAGCCGGATTTTCACGGGTGAATACCTTCACCCTGCATGAACCAAGGAGTTCTCTTTCCAGTACTCGCGAAATGAAATATTCCCTCTCGGCCGAGGTCGTGGCTTTGGTGGTGGGCACCAAGCTCTATACCGCTTGGGCCCGGGATGCTCAGGCTGAAATTTGGTCAGGAGGAACCAGATTGGGAGAGTTTAATCACCAGGAGTTCCAAGTTGGAGTACTTAAGGTAGTTATTGGAGAGTAGAGTAATTTTTGGTGGGTATGATAGAGGTGTTCACTGTTCATCTGACTTCTTCAAATGTCGTTTAAGACTTTGGAAGTCGCACAGAGTTTTGCCAATGTTCATAGTAACTTGACCAATATATAATGACCTGTCAAGGTGGTACTCATAGACTCGTCGTCCTGTTCTTCTTCTAGAATTCCATTGCTATGAGTCCTGCGAAGTCTCACTTAACCGATGCAAGGCACAACAAAACAGAGTATCGTCGCCGTACAACCCAGCGTAAATCCTAACTAGCTAGCTGACCAGAGTGGATGAATAGTTTTAGTCTCACAAGATTCCTAGAAGATGATTTGAATGGGAGTGAGTTCATATATTGCTTCCCAAAACATCAAACAATATCAAACACCTTGTGTCCCAATTTAAGACATTGTAATCAAATCATGTTTGGGTGCGTCCTGTAAGTTGTTTGTAAGTTGTTTGGGTATCTTTTGTGTTGATGTTTTTGCCTACTTCGCCCGACCTGGAAGATCTTCCATCGCTGGACCTGGACTCCTGCGTGCCATGACGGGTTGGGGAAGGGAAAGTCCGCGAAACATTTCTAAGATGGGACAAACCTCTAGCCATGCGTAGATACATTAGCCTCCATGGCTCAAACATCTCTTGGGGAGTAGATCCATTAGCCTCCTGTGTTGATCTTGGTAAATTGTTCCATGATGAGTAGAAAAATGAGACCATGAGAGTCCCAGTCACCAACATATCTTGGGTGTAAGACACGGAGTTTATTTACCATGTCCATCTCGGGCTCTGGGACGGATGTCCATCTCGCGCTTCGCAACACAAGGTGGGCGATTCGAGATTGGTTTTATGCCAAAGGCACCGGCGGGGTCCGTGGACATGGCCAGAGCTTCGTGGTTTGCATGGGGCGTCTTGGTTGGTTTTTGCGGGAGTAGAAACAAACACTGCATGCGTTTGGACACTCAGGAGTGATGTTGTTTTTTGACAGAAGACTTTGGTGTTGTCGACGTTTTCGTTGTGAATCCAACCATGGCCAAAGAGTTCAATGGCAGAACATCTCGCAATTGCCTGTCGAGTCATGCCTTTGCAGATGTTGCTTTCTTGGCATGGGCCCTGGTCCAAATTAGTTCCCAGCTTTTGCACGGCCCATTACCTGCATATGACAGATGCTTTTTGTAGAGAACGGCAGTGTCAGAAAAAGACTTCAGACCAGGGAGAAGGACATGTGCTGGAAATTGGTTGACCTGAAAAACATGGGAGGAGAAGAGGCAGTCTGAGAAGAGGCAGTCTGCCACAGCACACAGATTGCAAATGTACCTGCTGGCTTTGGTGATCAAAGCTGAAGTGGTCCCCTGGCTGGCACTCCACCTGCCTGCATCGGCCGAAAACCACCAAGCCTGCGAAACAAGCGTCGCCGACCTCATGCATGGAATTCGACGACGTGTGTTCTACTACATGGCCATGACTGGCGCAACATGTCACCATGGTTCCTTGAACGAACAGCGAATCGATGTCTTTCAGGACGACCAGTGTGGAGGTCTAGCTCCGGAAGTGTGGAGGTCCAGCTCTGGAAATGTGGAGGTCCAGGTCTGGAAGTTTGGAGGTCCAGCTCAGGAAGTTTTGTGAATGGCTTGGGTGTCCCGCTAGACCCCCGCTAAATGAAACCTCTCGACGGGGTACCCGGTCGAGAGGTTGCATTTTGCGGGGTTCGGAGGGGAATGAACTGTTTGTCAGACAATGTGGTTAGAAAAGAAGGGAACTGACACCCCAAGAGTTCTTAAGACTTTTAATTTACAACATTCCTCGATACAGCTTGCGGCGGTCTCAGACCCCAGAAAGCTAAGATGACAAAGGTCCAAAAGGATATCCTCGTTTGGCCTAGGATTCGCACACCGGCGCAACAACTGCAGGTCTCAGATGCAACAGCTGCTTGCGGTGGCCGTCACCAAGGACGCCATAGTTGATTGTTTGTTTTGTTTCTCAGGAAAGTAAAGTGTGCAAAATGACCGGTACTAGTAGCTACTATAGACAAAAAGACAGATAAGGCCACCCACAAAGACAGATACTTGCTCAGTTTTCAGGGTGCTTGGAGCGTCCAGAGAGCAGCGAAGACCGCAATGGACAATGCATCAGGAGACGGATCTTGTTCCAAGTCAAGGTTCTTGTTCTAATCTTGTGAGGACCTTTGTAGGGCTTGGCACCACGTGTAACACGTGGTCCTGACTCAGAAGCAGGTCATATGAATAGGAGGGTTGACGAGATTGACTGCCTTCAACCAATTAAGGTAGATGATACAATGCCCGGACAGGGTTTGTTCTTGTGTAGTTACGGTAGTTGAAGCATGTTGAAGCATAATGCTTGTGAATTTCATAGACACGCCAGCAGTTGCCACAGAAAGGCCACACAAAGAAACATATGATTTTCAGAGGGTAAAGTTAACTGCTGATTTTGAAAAATAACGCTACGTACTTCACAAACCCCTTTGGAGGGTTTCCACGCTACGTACTTCATATATTGGAAGAAACCCTCCACTACCCAAAACCACCCAAGCGTCAAATGCAAGAGTTTGTCCTTCTTTTTGGTAGTGCTGAATGTTTTTCTCCACCAGCAGAAGCCTGGTTTGTGCCCAATCATTGGGGGTCAATGGTTTCTGGCAAAGATTGTGTTTGTTTTTCGCGTGTTCAGTGAGACGTTCAATCGGCCATGGGCCATGGCCCATTCGAAGGGAAATACATGGGATATAAACCCACCAGTTGGAATTTTGCCTGCGTAATGTGACCATATGTGAACCATGGGTCCCTCGAAAGTTGATATGCTCGCCATCCAAACCTTAGGCTACACCCTCCACATCCGACACCGCTGCAGTTTTTGTTGCGATCAGATCGGAATTCCAGGACCATCGGCCGAATCTGGAGGCTGAGGCGCGAACGCCGCTTGTGGAAAGGAGCTTCCCCACAAAAGCCCACCCAACAGGGTGTTGAAGATTCCGCTCATCTACCCATTTTGGATATTAATTACAGTGGTTTCAGAGTGTATAAATATATATTATATGTATACATATATAGATGGCACAGACCCCATGACGTCCTAGACAGATGGGGGTCCATATAAACCACCTCTTGAGGTTTGTGTCTCAATTAAACTATAGGTGAGTTTGGACAGCTCTGAGATGAATTTGCGCCTTGTCCGGCAAGAATGGGCCCCTTCGAGGCATGTGCAGGATGCTGATTGGTGTTTTTTGTTGTTTGGACAATAGTAATTCAGTTGTTTTCCAATCAATATATTCAATAATTCTATGGTAGTCACTGCGACGGGAAGATCCTGATTCAGAAAAGCAGGTGTCAACACCTTTTTCGGTCAAAATTTCCGATGACTCCGCGGAGTCCGTCACAGATGGAGCAACTGAACGGGTGCCTCTTCTCGGGCGGACGGTGCCACGCAGTTGGGCAACCGCAGCGGGGGGAAACTGGATTAGCCCAGTTCTGGGCATTTCAATGCGCTGACGCATCGGCCCATCTGGCTGGACGATGAGGAAGTGGTTGGAGATGAATTTGACTGCATTCATTGAGTCATATTTATTTCTATCAGATAGACTTTTGGAAGGCCCATATTTCAATCAAACGTTTGGTGATTGAAACCTTGGGATGATTTGTCTGATCTTATTTGATGCGGCTTGACTTGTATGTACCTCAGGTTTTTTGCCTTGTGCCCTTCGACAAAGACTTTCAACAACAACCTTGAGATATATAGAAGGTTCGAGTGACCTAAGAAAGGCCCCTTGCTTGAGGTCTTCCCTCCTTCTGACGCAAAAACTCATGCAAGTGTCACCATCACCCCAAAAGTGAACGTTTTGGACTGGTCATGTCCTCCCAGTCCTCCCACCCCCAAAGCCTTCAAAAAACTTCAATTGAAAAGAGCTCTTTGATCCTTGACCAGTCCTTCACTGATGCCAGGCCAAGCGGGTGAAGGACGCTGGTGGCCTGGTCTTGGACTTCGGCATGGGCGTGTGCGCCGGTTTCAGACAACACCAAGGGGAAGTGGGAACCGGAAGCGGACACCAGAACTGGCGGGTTTTTTCCGGGTCCATGCAGGTCCTGATGATGTGGCTTCCAAAGAGATGCTCTGGAGAGGTGTCAGGGGTGCGGCTTGAGAATCGCATGGGAGGCCCAGTTGAAGGTCCTGAGGCTCCAAGGAATCAATGAAACAAAAGGACAACAAAAGTCGATCTGATAGGCCATCGCTCCTCCATCGCTCTTAGGTTGGAGGCCATCGCTGTTAGGTTTAGGTTCCTTAAAGTATTTTTTTCCTTAAATTATGCTTGGTCAGGTACAGGGTTGCCCATGATGGCTACGAGGAGTGGCCTTCAGACTGCCGGTGAGTGCCATGGTTCGTCAGGGACCCGCGCGCGGGGGTCTATGGGTGTATGTGTTACGAGCGAGACCTCCTTGAAATTGTTTGAATATCCGCAAGGGCCGGGGCCAAACAGTGCTTCCTACAGCGTACTGTGCTTGGGCGGGGATAGCTGATGCGTGTGTCACGAGTGAGTGAATGGATCATTGATCGAGTTACTTGCAGACAGTGATGTCAGCACATACACTCTGACTCACTAATATGGAAGTGGAAAATGGCCCCCATACGCTCAGACTACTTTCCTTTAAGAAGACGGGGGTGAACTCCACTTCCATGGTTGTTTCAGGGAGTGTATTTTCACTATGCGGATCTATGCGCGAGGAAGCTCAAGTTACATTCAATTTGGAGGAGTCCTCCGCCACTTCGAAGTGGCCCGTCGCCATGAAACAACAGAAGCGGCCGCTGGCGAGAAAGTAACAGAAGAACGAAAAAACATGAACATGATGCAGTGTTTTGGGTAAAGGGAAAAGGACTACACCTTCCTCATCAGAGGACCTGATCCCTATATAGGTGAATTGCATGAGACGTTTCAGAAGACGTTGCAGGTGAACTATATTACTTTCATGACTGTAAATTGATGGCCCAGGTGTTGTACCAAAGCATTAAAATGCGCGCGTTCCATGCCCTTAGCCCATCTATTTCTGTGCCCAATAACTCCTGGAAAGAGAAGCTGGGCAAGAATGAGAAGCGACACCTCACACGCGCGTTTGAGGGGAAGGCGGAAAGCAGGTGGAGCTCGTCCAAGGCCGCGAGCTTCACATCGGAGAATTGGTGAGAAGGTGCGGGAAGGCACAAGGCACGCCGATGAAGGCACTGCACTTGCGTGATCCATCTCAGCATGAGCTTCTCCCCTCAAGCATACCATGGTCCTCCGAAACATGCTCAGCTTCCGTTGGATCGCCTCCTCGTCGGAGCCGCAACCGAGGCCGGCATGTTTTGAGACTTGGAAAAGCAAACCAAAATGAGAGAGCAACTCTCGTTCTCTATATCTCCAACTGTTTTGTTCTATTTTTTCCGGAAGACATACAATTCTCTATCTCCAAGTGTTTCTTTTTCCGGAATACAAAGCCAAAGCATCGCAAGCGCGATTTGAGCCCAGAAGTTTGCGGACTTGTTGGTTTGAGTTGGACCTTAAGACCGAAAGAGCCATCAGTTCATACAAGCATCTGTGTTTGAAGAGTCACATCTCGTTTCCAGAGCCTCTAATGTTTCATATGTGTGTGCCGGAAAATCCGATCTGGCTGTGATGTGTTCATTCGATTCAGCTAAGCTATGCACGCCCCCCTCTTGTTGTGTGTCGGTCCATGTTGATCCCTTCCCAAACTCACTGTTGCAAAAACAAAGGTCTGGAGAGTAAACATCCTGAGTGTGCGTTGGTTCAAGAATAGGGTATACCATTCACGCCCAGTCAATGAAGCATGACTAAAAACCTGCAGGTCCAAGGTGTTCTTTTTTACACATATTTTTGGAACTTCACCACATCCAATCTTGCGCGATCATGTTGGCTAGTTTGGTGGCTTTTGGTGGCTGGATCGAACACGTTCGAGGTGGCTGACGGTACGTGACTTGCAACAGAACAAATTGCCAGAGGGGCCATGTCAAGATACGAAGGTGTGGACCGGGATCCCTCTCTTCTTTCAATATCACCTTTCCCCGGGTCTCTCTCTTTCTCTCTGTGTCTCTCCCTCTCTCTCTCTCTCTATTTCAATATATACCTAGCACTTCCAACGGGTGCCCAAAGGAGACCTGTAAGTAGGGTAGGGTAGTCTGTTGGACACCCATTGGATGATCCTGGTACTTTGTTCCTTTCTTTTCCTTTCATCCTTCCTTCGTGCCATGAAGGAGAAGATGCGAGAGATGAAGCGCCAACAAGCGTTGGGCATGGGATTCTCTGGCAAGGCGTGGGCGTGTGAGATGTGTTCCAAAGCAGACATGAGGACATTGACATACATAAGGACGTACATGTGAAACGCTTTGACCACCACACGTTCAAATTGAGAAGTCCTTGAGAACCCCTGGGGATAGCGCATTCTGAAATTGCTATATAAAGGTTTGTTTGGTTTATGTCTATTGAGCCCCATTTGCCACAGACAGACAGAACACTTCGTGCATTGATGACAGGTTCGCTTCAAACCTCTGAGATGCTCGTCCAATTCTCGTTGATGTTCTTTGCAGTTTGATCCATTACATACAAATACCCAGACCATCAATGTACCTACATTGGGGTGGTTTGGGGGGGTCATTGTAGGCATATATTCCATAAATACATGGATGGTCTGGGATATATCACTGTGAGGAATCCTGTGCATTCCTGCCTTTCGGCAGCTAATTACTTGATTCAGCGGTGATCGTACCTCCTAGGCCCCGATCCGTTTGCAAGACCATCAAGGTCCACCAACAATCGTCTCTTTCCTGTCTCCACTTGAAGTGGCAAAAACACACCGCTTCCCCGCAAAAAAGAAGCACACCAGTGAAGAACTGCACACGTCCGCAGGACCAAAATCTTCGTCTCATTCTCCTCGGAATCCGAACCTCGTCTCGTCGGCCGCCCGTTTCGGCGCTGTCCAGGAGCCCGTGGCCCTGGCGGTCTCCCGGGCCTTGGGCGATCGCGACTTCAAGGTGCGGGGTAGACAAGGCGTCAGGTGGGGCTGAACACCAAGAGGGTGGTGAGATGCGCAGACGCCTTGCGTCAGGTGGGGAGATGGATCTCCTTTGTTTCGGCTCGAAAACCCAGATGTTGGAAACAATCTAGCGATGCCCAGAATTCCTTGAAGAGTTCGGATCTTTTTCTGTGGGTGGTTGTTTGGAAGAGTTTAGAAGATGAGACAGAGGGTGCGCAAAACGGGTCCGCAACATGGTCTGCAACCTGCGCAAAACCTGCTGGGTTCAGAGATGTGTTGATGGTTCAAACCTTTACTTGCTGGTTGAGATTGTCCATCGCGCCGTCTGTTGTTCAAAGAATCTCGAACCGGGCCCGAAACCCGAAGTTCCACAGCCTGGCCCGCCCAGTGGGGGGTCTCTTGAAAAGTCCTTATGGCTAACCTCTTCACATCTTTTTTTCATGGCACAACCACTCGAGTGTTGGTGTAATTCATGTGAACTCTTGATGATATTTCAAGCCCCAGATGAAGAGGCGCCCTTCAATCCAAATGAGGAAGTTAAAGTATAATGAAACATTCAAGAGTCTACATTATGTTCACCCATCCCCCCTCCCAAAGAATGACATGGAACATCCATGTATTGAATCTATGGCTCCATTGACCCCTTTTTGAACCCCAATGTAGGATCATGTAGGCCATACATGCAGGTTTGGGTGGGGATGTTCAGGTGTCAGAACCCGCTGGGTAACGGCTGCGTCCGAAAGGCAGTGACGGGGAAGCCACTCCTCATCGCAGAGCCAGATGTGAAGTGCGTGCAACTCGATAGGCGATGTTGGCTGTTGGAGTGTTGGAGTGTTTCGATGTGTTTTGACACATGGTTGGAGTGTTTTGATGTCACGTTTGGGTGTCCTTTGCAAGGAAGCTCTTTGAGCAAACTTTATGCCATGCCATCGTATGCCAGTTGATGTGTGGCAACTTCGATTCGGTCACGCCTTGCCAGATCAGACTTGGAGCATGTTTTGATTGACGTTCAAGATGTGTAAAGTAAAAGTGTAACACAACCATCAGGCCATCAGGTCGTTCACTTTGAATATCTTTGAATGAACTTCATTTGTAACTTCAGCTTACCAGTCTACCACACTGTCTTAGGGAGTGGCACACATCGATGTTTGTTCCGAGTCTTTGTCCTCGCAAAAGAGCTGCTCTTAGGCTTATTGCAAGATCCATGCCCCATCACACCTCTGGATGACCAACTCCTAGTCTCGTTCTTGTGGATCTCAATGACATCCATGACCTGGCCACATCTGACGGCTCTTTGTCGGTGTCACCGCCTGTACCGCTGGTACCGCCGGTACCAGTGGAGGACGCACATGTCCATGGCCTTAATGTGCGACGGGATCTCCGACGTGATGCAAGACGACGAGGCATCAATCGAGCCGTCGCAGTCGTCTATACGACGCGGCGGTGCGTCGTGTTTTGCGCAGCACGGGGCATCTGCGCATCGTTCTGAAGGCCAAAAGGGGGCGCGAAAAGGGTATTGGAGGATTCTTTGCAGCAACTGTAGACATATGTAGACGGCTGATGAAGGAACCCCCCCATATGGAGAGGCTTTACAATCCAATGGGGGGGCTTAGTAATTATTACTATGAACAGAACTGGTCAAAAACCCATGGTCCCTAACCCACTTATATATATATATCCCCATTGACTTTGGGCACAGACGGCACCAGGGAGGGTTTCACATTGTGCTTTGGATGCTGGCCGGATTCAATACAATTTGTTAATACATGAATCATAGATAAAATAATACTTAGATTAACACATTTACAACATCCTCCACGACTCCACAACAAAAACATGAGCCAGAAACCAGAACATAAAAAGATCATAAAAGACATGACGTGTGACGTGTGAGATGTGTTCCTTTTTCACACACTGCCTTTGTCGCCTCGAGTGACTTCGCTGCAGATCTGCGCGGAGCTGGAGATGCGGAGGCCTGGGCCACCCGACCCTGTGAAGCGTCGGAACACCCAGAACCGCGGTGAAGCTCGGCGCGCAAAGGCAACAAGCTCAGAGAGATTTTGCTGATGGTTTGTTGCTTTCCAGCCGTAATGATTCTTGATGATAGACTTGGACATCTCGATGCAAATTAATTTGTAGTTTTTGAATTAAGGGTTTTGCATGCAAGGACAACATTAGCATGCCGGGTTAGTTGGACCTGTGTCATGGCCAACCAGATCAACACATCAACCTTCACGGATGTGTGAGCTAGCAGCTAGCAGCTAGTCCATTCAGATAATATTTATAGATCATGATGATCATGCACCTTTTGTCCCACAACTGAGCACCTGCACTTTTGGACACAAGGCACACAAGGCGCTGCAAGCGTCCGTCCTTGCTGTATCGACGTGTCAGCGTCCTTGCTGAGATGATGGGTCAACACGTCGATGTCGCGTTTTTGCTGATGCAGCTGCAGGGTGAACATGCAGCTGCAGTTTCCGATGTTTGAAGATTTTGAAGGCTCTGGAAAGAAGAACGTTGAGAGATGTGAGTCAAGACCTGTAGCATCCTGTAGGTTCTTGTCCAAAGTCTGAATGTAGGGACATGATGCAGTCCTGAATTTATGCATGTTTGTGCTCAAGATGTTCCTTTTGCGGTCTCAGGGCACCTGTTAATAATAAGAATAGTGCATTACACACACAGCCACACACGGCTGACCATATTTGACCATCATTATTCACTCTTGCTCAGAAATAGGGTTTGGCCACCCCCCGGGTCCACCCAAACACCACCTGCATTCTGATATATATATATAGTTATATATATATTATACAATATATCTATCTATGAATAATCTATTATATGAGTACACTGTAAACTGTGAACTGGTTCCTTTCAATGTAACCCACCACAGAAAAATGCACATCCCTCCTCATGCGAAACGAACCGATGATGATCGACGACACGCCCTCCATCCTACCGATCCGCCGGCGCGTTCGAGGCTGCCGAATAGCGTGCGGCGCGCTGGTTCAGGAGGCCTACAAGCGAGGGAGTGAGGACCGATCGGGTCGGCCTTCGGTCTCATGGATTTAAACATATTTAAACCTGCTTGAAGCTATGCAAGCCCTACAGGTGAAACATGGTGAAACCCTTAAGATCCAAACAGAGGCCGATCCATGCATCGATGCAGAACGGGCTTGGAAAAGCTGACGTACCGGGTCCGTCCTGTACGGTCAATGACAACTATTGGAAGTACCTTCTTTTTCGGGTCCATGACCTTTGCGCCGACCTTTGGTGAGGGTCTCCTTCTTTCATATCGTTTCTGGTGTGCCATTTGTTGTTCATGTGTTTTTTGAGCAAACTCTGTGCCTGGGTCAGAGGGCGAAGATGGCTCCAAGCGATCCAAGCATGAACAAGTACAACTGCAAAGTTCCTGACTGATGCTTTTGTTCCTATAGTTTGGGCCAAAAAGAGGAAGAGTGGCCCCCAAGCCAGGAATGCACATACGCATCTATACGCTCATTTGCAGAGCCTCCTGACAAGCATGCCAACACCGAACACAGAGGCGTCCTCTTTGGTTTGCACGGGGTCACAGTCACAGCATGCTCAAGAATAGCATTGCTTTGTTTAAATGGGTTTCATTTATTTGTTATGTGTCATATTTCAGGTGCCCATTGTGAAGTCTATATACAAGGTGCCCATTGTTGCATTTTTGACTGGTTTGGTTGTATGTTTTAAGTCCTTGTTGTTTTCAGGCCGGAACTTTTAAGCAGAAACAGAGAAACAATCGGAAACAATTGTTGTTTGTTTTTACTGGTGTGTTTAAAGAGAGTCCTGTTCTTGTTTAAAGCTATATACTTAACTTGGTGTGACTGTGGTCACAATAATAGTTTATGTTCTATGACATTTGCTTCTAGCCCCACCCTTCCTTATCTCACAATGCACATGGGGCTGCTGGAGCATTGGAGTGTGATAACAGACAACTCAGGGCGCCCCTGTGCTACAGCAATGCTGTCAGGCCATGGATTCGCTCCTCAAGAAAAGCTATTAACATTAGCAGCCTTGGTTGCGCCAGTCTAATCCAGTTGCCGACCGAAGTTCCACCATCCCATCCCAGGTTCCACCGTTCCACCCGTTTGGTTCCCATACCCCGGACTTGCCGCCCCGGCCACGGTTTTCCAAACGCATCGCAGGACAATCTCACGGTGATCTTCGTACGCTTCCAATGGGAAGGCGCCGCGCTGAACAAATCGGACGAATCCAGGCAGCGCCATGGAATCCAGGCAGCGCCAAGAGCTGGTAACCACACGGAAGCATAGTATTCCGCTGTGTTTACCACGCATTGTACTGGACCATATATATATATAGAGAGAGATAGACTAGCTATAGTATGTCACGAAAGCTAGCACCAGCTAGCTGGAGTTGTCCTTGCTTTAGCAAGTGAGGGGCTGGAATCCTCGGGATCGCCGCATCACGTGAAAACTTCATATGTAGGGGGGGGCCCCCCCCCCCCGTGGGTTCAACTCCCCCCTCGGACGCCTCTGGGACACCTCTCGGGCATCTCTTATGGCATCCACTTTGGCTTAACTCCTCCGGGATACGGTGCAACAGATTCAACAAGCTCACACGTTCATGACATCGACATCGATAGACGAAACCAAACAAATCATGCAAGCAGCTTTGTTTTGCCTCTGGGACACCTCTTGGGCACCTCTTATGGCATCCACACTGGTTCAACTCCTCCGTGGAGGTTTTGGGATACGGTGCAACAGATTCGACAAGCTCACAGGTTCGTGAACACATCGGATGCATCGAACAGTGTGGCAAAGTCCAGCCACGCTTCCTTAATTATATATCGGGGACTTCAATTCTAAGGTCGGCTGTGTCATTGCTGTTTGTGTGTCTTACATGTTCACAACGTTTTACCTCGAGCATTTGCCTCACTCCGCTTGATGTCCCACCAGTCCGGATGCACCCCTGCTAGCTTTCGTCACCTACCCTCGGCCTCAAGTATACTATTGTATACTGCATTCCATCTATATGCAGTGTATGCATTTGATAAACTAATGTGATCGTTAAGCTTCCAACCGACTGGTGCTTGGCAGGGAATGAGGGAATGACTCGTGACTTTATAGATATACGTTAGGATCCATTCCCCCATTCCTCTTTACCAAGCCCCAGTCGAAACGCACACAGTCAGAAACAGAGGTAGGATACGATGTGACAAGCGCTGGGAGGCCTTATGGCGATTGGTTGGAACCATCACAGGTTCACGTGAGTGTTTCGCATTCCCACTGGAAAAGGCTGAAGAAATGAATCAAATTCCGATAAGCACCCGACACGGGGATTGTAATGATAAACTACAGCAGACAAGGATTTGTTCCACCAACAGCAGTGAGTGACTTTAAGTATGAAACACCAGAGTAGCATCTCCCGGTGATTGGAGTGTGTTTGATGTACCTGCATCTAGGAAACCGGCAGTTCCAGTAACCGTTGGCACGTCCACTGGATGGTACACTGCGAAAAAGACCCATTTCCCAAATCATGCTACAATATACATAGAGAGAGAGGGAGTACCCCCTTTGATGATATCCCTGAGTGCACATTGCGCTCCTGAAACCTGGAAGATGACCCGTATAGAGGTACCATGTGGGGGGTTGTACCATATATACAATAATATACAATAATATATAATATATATATATATATATATATTTATTTATAGAAATGCACAGCCTGTTCCATGATTGATTTGGATTCGATCAAGGTGTTCTTGGCGACAACGAAAAGAACAGATATAATTTTCTCAAAGACATTGGCCCATGATTCTCCATTCTCCATGCATGGAATATATGCCAATGCCCCTGAAACGATCCCAATATGTAGGTATTAATAAATGCCAGTCCCATGTGACGGTGGCAACTGGGCAGTGTTCGTGGCTATTGCGATCCATTCCCCAGCCCTTGTCGCACGTTCAGGTGGCTATCAGGAGGCAGGTGGAGCTTTGCTGTGAAAATGAGTGATGTGCTTTCCTCGAGCCTATGAAGACGGTTTAACATGGTTTAAGATCGGCGAGAACAATGGCAAACATGTTCTTCTACCGCTCTTCCAGGATGCTTGTGTTCAACTCTTTAAGGAACCTCTCAGTCCACCCTAGTGCTGTGAAGACTTCTGCGCAGACTGGCACCAGGCGCCCTTGCCAAGCAACCACCCGTATGCCATAGCGTTGGCGCAAGCTGCGTCGAAAGGCATGGAGCGAATCTCCTGCATGGGAAAGGATGTGAAATAATGTGTTTGTTTCAGAAGAATTGACTCATCGCAGAATGGTACGATAGTCTCTTTGCGCTTTTCGGCTGCACTGTCAGAATTCAGTCACTTGGTCCCATAGACAGTCTTGCTCCCGTGTGTTGTCTTCCCTCCATCGCTCGGGTTGTCACTTCGCCACTTCGCTTCCTGCTCGGTTCAGGCACCACTGCAGCCGCCGCCTCGAAAAAGAGGCGCCACTGCAGCCGCGTCCGGACCCAACGGCCCAGTGATGTTGTGCCGTGAAGGTGAAGGATATTGAAGGTAGATGCTGATGGATTTGGAAGGGTGTTCAGATGGCGATGTTCATGGACTTGCCCTGGAAAACATTTGATGGCGATCATGGTGTCATAGATACTGTATATATATAGTCGTATAGATTCCAATTGATGATATTCTGTGTTAGTATACGTGGCCAGCCTTAAAGATTCCAAAACACCTATAAGCTTTGGTTGCCAAGTATTCCCAATCACTTTCCCACTCGAGAATCAGACCTAGTTTTCAGGTTCAAAAAAAAATATTTTATGTATTCCCTGCACTTCTGCACATGTCATCCAGCCAGAAGTGGAGCAACTAAAGATTCACCACATCCAATAATGTATCAAACCACTTACACTATCATCATCGTCGGCCCCGTGGATGGGATGGCATGGCCCCGAAAGGATGGCCATTTTCCTTTACAAATAAAATAGGTGGTGAACTCCGCCTCCATGATGATTCCAGGGAGTGAACTTCAATCCACCGCATCGCCGCATCGCCAGCATCCGCTCGCACCGTACCTCACGCTCTCACCGCATCGCCAGCATCCGCGCTCTGTGCGCAAGGCGTCAAGAGGCGGCGGCCAGTGTGAAACGGCAAAAGGTGGATGCCTACGAGTGCCTTGGCCTTCGACGGAATCCACGGCTCGGGCTCGGTTGGAGGCCATCGCTAGTAGGTTGGAGGCCGTCGCTCTTAGGGTGGCAGCCATCGTTCTTAGGTATAATTCTCTATGAGTGAATCCCCCTTTTCTTATGGGTGAGACTCCCTATGGGCCCTATGGGTGAATTCCCTTTTCCCCGGTCCCTTGGAGCACAAGAACCGCGCTTGGCACCATCAGATGGAGCGCTCAAGTTGGCTGCGGAGGACTGGCTAGTCGACTAAGGAGTGTTTGATGTGTTTCACCACAGTTTATAGGGCTCAAAAGCTGCAAAAGAACCACAGTTGAGCAGCTCAGCACGTCCAAGAGCTGAGAAGTTCCTTCCTGAAAGATCTTGGAACAAACAACTTTGCTTTTGGACTGCAAGCAGATCACATGTTCAATCCCAGACCATCAGGACTGGACTAGTTATTTACATTGGGATCATGTAGACGGTCGATCAATAAAATCACCTAATTTGGAGATGTAAACCATTCTGGTGTTTTTCTACAGTACATGAACTATTCCAGTACCATGGATGGTCTGGGACTCATGTTTACACATTATTTTGCAGCGTTCTCCTTCCCGCGTTCTCAACACCCCACCCGCTCCTTCACCCATTCGGCTGGTCGAATCCCAGGCGCGCCATGGCGCAACAAAACCGGGAGGAGGAAGCTCGGTCGAAGGCCGCAGAATTTTCAGATGATCCGCGGGTGTGGGCGCCTGCTGGGCGAGCATTCTCGCAGTCCGGATGGTTCTGAACTGAAGTGATGATAGTCTAGGGGAGGTACGAGGTACTGGTACGGTATAAATTAGATGCTACACTTAAAATATGCCGCAATGTTGTTTTGGACATGTTTCCCCTTGATTTCGTGCATCTCAGGAGGAAGGTGTTAAGACTCCGACTCTTTCAGCCGCTTAAAGCTTTCGGCCGGATTCTTCTCCCTACAGTGAGCAATCGACGCCTGACCACCCAAGATGGATGGACCAAAGTGGTGTGCCTTGGGAATCGTTTCACCTGTAGTAACAAGAAGCTTTTTAGTATGTCTTTGAAGCTTTCTAGTAACTAGAAGCTTCCTTGGGAATCGTTTCCACAGGTAGTTTCTGGATGTTTCCGGGTATATGGATTTCATTGAAGATTTGGTCATGAAGCTGCTGGTCATCCATTCGAGAATGTGTTTTTTCCACTGACCGGAAAACATGAAAAACGGCGCTGAAAACGACCCGCTCGCGGGGGTCGTTTTGGTGAAGACCTCGCAGCTCGCTCCGCTCGCAGCTTCGCGTTGTTCGGCTCCAGGGGCCCAGATTTAGCTCGGACAGCACGGTGCTCCGGTGCTTTGTGGGAGGTCGAAGGATGGTAGAGATGGCATTGGACGGCCCATACCTTGAACACACAATATGTTCTTTGGGTTTTCTTGAGTCAACATTGACCAGGTTTTGCTCACAACTGTCACTTTTGGTTGGCATGGTCAAGCAAAAGAACACCTCAGAGCCCTTCAAGGAATAATAGTTCAAAGTCTTTGCAACTTAGATGAGATGTTCAGCAGTGCAGACTCATATTTTACATGACTTGGACAGGGCTTGGGTTCTTTGCAACTCAAAGGAGAGGTTTCCGCCCCCCTCAAAGGAGGACGCTGGTGACCACGATAGCCATGCGCTAATCATGCATTAGAAAAACGCCTGTGTAAAGAAGGGATTGAAACGGCCTCCTCTCACTTGGTCCACAAAGCATTCGTGGACCACCACCACCACCACAGGAAAGCCGATTCTGAGAATTGCAAGCACATTAGAGCACACCCGGAAAAGAGCCACGTGCAGACTGGACAAAGGTGGAAATTCTGTATCGCATGGCATGGCTGCATGGCTATACTATATAGCGACCAGGTGGTTTGCACTTAGAGCAACTGACACAACCACTTCTCCGTTGTGCAACGGCCTTGGCATGAAGCTTCCGAGATCCTTTACGGACAGCGATGGGTTTGGCTGGTGAAAACATAAGAAAACGATGTGCAACAAGGCGCTTCTCTTTTCATGGTTAACTTGCTTCAGGTAGTGAGGGAATGGGTGTCCGGCTTTCAACAGCATGGGCGTTTCTGGGGCACCTCTTTGTTTTGTGCAACCATATATGAGTCTCATGTCCTGCAGTTCCTTTTTGACGTCTTTGCGGGTCGGAGGAACTCCGCCCACCGCGCTGCTTTCGAAGTTCACTCCGCCGGGACCAACGGAGTTCACTCCGCCACGGCTGACGAACTCCTCGCTGAGCACGGAATCTCGACGATCCCTTTTTTGGGGGTCGGAGGTTTTTCAATCAAGACCCAACGGATCTTGGCAATGGTCATATGAGTCATGTGTTTTGTTTTGAGCAATGTCACGTCAGAACATCTCAAGACCCCTTTTTGTAACTCTGCGTTCTTGGAAAGGACATCTCTGACCCGGATGTCTGAACTCTGAGATGCTCTTGTGGAACTTCAAGAGCTTCGTTACGTCAGTTTGCACTTTCCAACCCCAAAAAAGTACAAAGAACGAGCAGAACGAGTTCGGAAGGTCGGAACCATAGGCTCCGGAGCCCCTCCACCATGGTCCCTCCCTGCCGATTGGAGGAGCGCTGGAAGTGGGCCGGACCTTACCGCATCGCCGCGGTGGCCGCGGCCCGGCCGCTTCCAGAGTTGGTGGTTGGACTCTGGATCCAAAATACATGGAACCCCTGAAAAAGAGAGGAACAGGCAAGATGCTGCTATATGCAGCACCTTTTGTTCATGTCCATGATTTACCCTAGGTTTGGGGAGCGTTGAGATGTGATGACATGTATTCAGAGCATGACACAGTTTAAGTTACCTGACTATTCATGTGGAATGCCCATCTACAGCCAATGACGACCAGGAGGTTAACGAGGGCCCTGAGTTTCACGATTCCAATTCAAGGTGTTTAGCACTCAACATCGGTGGCGAACATGCAGGGTTCTTGATGGATGAGTGACTTATCATTGTCCAGCCGCATATTGGTTCCAGGTTGCCCATCCCGGTCAAGCCCTTTGAAGCCCGATGATGGCACCCTGCTTTTTGAGCGACACACACCTTTCGGCATTCATTCACTGGATGCAAGTGTTTTCGGCATTCACTGGGCTCCATTGGCATGTTGCCTACCCTCCTTGGCGTCACGGAGTGCTTTCCAGCCCACGGTCCTCTTCGACCGAAGTGGTCCCATCGGGAGGGTCGGTCTCCGTCAGATCGGAGGGCCTCATCCGTGCGGGCAGCTCCCCCAGACGGGAACCCTCAGAATGGGACATTGGGGCCTTAGCTTCCTTTCTTCAGCGAGGCCCTTTGCTCCGTTCGTAGCGTAGTAAGGCCAGGAGCCCTGGTCGTAGCGTCCGATCACTCCGTTCGAGTCGCGATGCCAGGAGCCCCGGTCGTAGCTTCTTGTTCCTGCTGCAGCCAGTCCGTTGTCGTTTGTACCAGCACCGATCACAGATCACTCGCGCACACACAGGGGCCCCAGATCCAAGAAGGGGCCCAGCTGTGACCAGGAATTCATCCCGCCTATCGATCACTTATATAGATCCGTCGCGACTCGCTTGAGGTCTTTACCGTGGTCAGCGGCAAGTACTTGTGGGACGGTTTGGGCCCGCGTTCTCGTGACAGCGGTCTAAGGCTATAAGGAATGGCTCCAAGGGAGATCAACTGTCCAAGATTTGGGCCTTTGGAAGATCAGGAGATCAACTTGTTGTTTGACCATTTTATTGGCCTTTGTTTATTTGCCGGGATGTTTGCTGTTTTTCTTTGCTTGCCCATGGATCAGGGCAAATCTCAGGTATTTGGCTTTATGAGAAGGTCCAAGATGAGCTTTTTTGTGAAACCCGGGAGAAGCCACGTCCGCGCATTGGTTGAAATGTTACATACGCACACAGCATTTGCAAGCAAGTCCCGACTCAGCCGAGTCGCACTTCCTTTCAACCCATGTTAATAATTATATACTGTTGATCCAAACGTGTTGAAACCACGCACCCTAGTGCCTACACATCATTCCGGTATGGATTGTTTGGGAAAGGCATTAAAATGAAAAAACTAATTGCCCTGTTGACGGGATCCACAACCAACTGAGTGGACAAGACTCGACTGATTCGATCGATTGGGCTGTTTGGGGTGTTGCTTGGCTTTTATACACGGTCATTAGAAGAGTTTGGGGTTGAATCACCCAAAAAGTTGAACTGTTTGCCTAGGGATGAACAGCCATGGGACTGGGGAAGGGTCATTTTTTGAAGTTGGGAATTTGTTACGAGTTGCTTTTTTTGTATCCTGGATGTTTGCCTTTTTCGGTGTGAAGATTGAGAATGAGGTGGACATTCGATGTCCGAGTTAAGATTGAACACGTTCAAGCTCCTGATTCAGGAGCCCAATGCGTAGAGAAGATGTTTGAAAGAAAAATCGTCGGCACGCAAGCCGTTGCAAAACACTCAAGATTCAGGAGCAACATGGAGCAACAGCGCCTCGAAGTGGTTTGAGGTTCATGCACCTATGAAACTAGCCAGGGACTTGATCATACAAAGCTGCAGTGCAGGGTTTGATACCGCCACAATGATTTCCCATGGGCGAACCTCCCTAGACGAGTGCACTTGTTTACTACAATCTTCCAAGCTGTTCAAGAAAAATACCATGAATTCAGTGTTCAGGTCACGAATTCAGGAACTGTTGTGGAACACCACGAATTCAGGAAATATCTTTTCACAGCTGTTCAGGACTTCGTGAATGCGTTCAACTTCAGGACAGCTACTTGTACATCTACGGCATCTTCGGCAGCAAGCTCACGCTGGAGACCTCGGCCGATCAGTCGATGGTCGAAGAACCCTGGTCTTTTTTTGGCCGGGTTGGTCGCGAGCGGCGCACGCTTTTGGCTTTTGGTCACAGAAGAAGCACATGAACCATTATAAACTGATAATCCATGATAAACCTAGTAATATGTGTGGAATTTTAGCATAAAGTAAAAATAATCTGTAAGAGATCGACACCAGAAGTGGTTTTCAAGGAAGAGAACAAGACCCGTGCCAAGACCCGTGCCTTCCAGGCGTGAAAAGACGTGTCTTCGTGCGGTCCATTCGGGGTCTTTCGCCTTGCCAGCCTCCGCAGCTTGCAGGAGTCACGACGGCTGCGCTTCGATCCTGAACAGGGCCCAGCAAAGCGGGAGCCGAGGCTGGTGACATCAGGTGTTGGTTTTGTATCCAAAACGCTCCGTTCACCGCCCGACTGGTCCCTCAAAACCTTGTGGGTGGGTTTGATGGAACGCACCCCTCCGGATTCGGGACGGATCCTGTAGGATGTCATGTCTCAGGTGCATTGTGAATCCGATGTTGCGTTGGTTTTGTATTTAAGTTTAGTGGGCAGACGGGATGCATAGGGATATTTGTTTGGAGGATGACATGTTTCTGGAACAGCGAGTTGTAGGGAAGAATTCTTCCACTGCATGTGATGGAACCAGAACCAGTTCTGAGGAAATCTCAAAGGTCCAAAAAGCGCATGGTTGCCAATGAACAACACCCCTGCTGAAAGTATTTTGGATGCATTGGTTCATCCATGTTTGTTTCCTACTGTGATCCGAGAGGCTCCTGGTGTTCTTCGAGGTTTTAGGGAGAGGATCCTGGTGTGATCCTGGTCCTGGTCAAGCATTTCCACCAGTTGACACAGATGACTTTAGATTACTCCAAGATGTTCTAAGAGTTAGAGATTGCTTTTTGAATTCATTGACGGCTTTATCAACTAGGCTGCCAGGCTGTTTCTTTTTGTACGTCTTTCTCTTTGTAACTTCGTACAAGTGCAAGCAGATGAAGGACATCAACTCTTCAGCCCCTGGCATCGTCGTTCGTGTCCATTGACAGAAAACATGTCTGACTGGTACGACCCATTGGAATGAAGAACGGAATGAGGCTTTCAGGATCCGATATCCTAAGGTATCAGTATCTATACTCAGACACTCCATGTATGCCATATGCCATATATGCCTACATGGGGGTGGTTTGAGGGCCCAATGTAGGCATATATGGCATACATGGAGTGTCTGGGATATGTATCTATCGTAGGGGTCATTCCCCTGTTTGGTCATACGAGGGGCATGGATGTCATATGAAGAGTCAATCAGAACCGGCTGCCTGGATTAGTATTAGAATTCCAGCAGGTTTGAGTATACGGATGCATATGGTACGGTATTGGTACAATTGTACATATTCGCATTGAACAGGGGTGTGAACCACTTCCTGTGGTATGTCAGGGTGAAGGCTTGACAGGCCGGTATAGTGGCGGTTGACTCATTCTGCAATCTATATATACTAGACAAGCATGGAACGTTACACTGTTGTGTGCCCATTCATGTCTTTTTGAGTCAAAATAGCAAACTAGACCCAACCAAGTCAGAATCGCTGAGCGTTGCTGAGCGTGCACTCATTTTTTGATCAACAGTCTCTCCCTTTGTCCAACCATTCCAGGGAGTGATGCCACCTGAGACACGCGCAGCAAACGATAGCTTGCGCAAGAATCTGTAGGTTGGGGTATTCGGCAGTGCCTTCATGTGCCTTCTTGGTCTGGAGAGGATGGGAAATAGACCCTGAAAATGCTTTACGTGTCTAGCGGCCAGTTGCCTGGCAATGTCGGTTGAAGTGCCCATTTAGCTTTAGTACTGTCATTGTTTAGGGGCACCTCAGCTTGTATGGCCGGCCACGCAGACTCCAAGAAGTACCGGTTGAATCTTATTTACGTCATTGTATACCAAGAATGCAACGATTTGCTATGGTGTTCAGAAACCTGAAAAGCTGCAGGGAAAGCTTAAAACTCTGTTCCAAAAGGAATTGCCGTTTTGTGCAAACTACGTGTGATTCATAAAGGGAGGTTTTGCAAAAGCTAGGCTTGTGAGAGCACGCAGACAGCATGCCAGTCATGATTTCTAGCTAGGTGAAGGTATGCTAGTCAGGTCCTGCATGCTAGTAGGAAAATAACACATGCATTTGCTTGTGCTATATAATATATATATATGCTATTATATATTTATATTACTGTAGTGACGCACACAATTGGCACAATTGCTGATTGCCTTCACTGCGCCCACTGCGCACTTCGCTGTTCATCCCACCCGATGCGTGCGCCTGGCGCGGTGAGCGCCTTTGTGAGCGCCGATCGCTCGGCGAAAGAGCCATTGCTTCGTTGATGTTGCAAAAACAGGAGGTCCATTCGTTCTTGTTCCTAGTAGCGATGCCCTTTGTTACTACTAGCGTCCTTGCTCCTACTAGTACGGCCAGGAGCCCCTAGTAGCGTTCTTGTTCTTGTTCTTGAGGTCCATTCATGTCCATGTTCAGCAGTACCATATGATGTTTTTTTGGGGCTCGAGCCCATTCCCAGGCGGATTTCAGTGGTTCTGCTTCCAGAGATCACATCCCTCATGAGTCCCTCATTGGACCCATTTCTTGCAAGTGTTTGGGAAAGAGTGGTAGGAACCAGTGGGATAAGCACCTGTAAAGCCGCCGACTCACTATCCCAGACCATCCATGGGAAGACCCTTATAGAATGCTCCACCTCCACTTCGAACCACTTCCTCCCTCCGACTACACCGTATGCCCCATTTATGACCCTAATGTACGTATCTATTCCAGTCCCATGGATGGTCACTCACTCATAGCTGTCAGATACTCCAGCTCTGGGCTTTGCGGCTTTTCTGACATGTTGTTTTCGTATCTTCCTAACTCGGAGGTGGTTTGAAGACAAGAGCTGACAATAGCCTTGTTTGGCGGATTGGGTGATGTTTATGGTCTCCTCACTAGGTGAATCGGCAGGAGGAAGACTTGTCATTTGCTTCCCGAATAAACAGCAAATCCAAGCAGAAATACCACTGAGCCTGCACAAGTGTAGAGAACTCTTGCCATTTCAGGTGTAAGATGGTGTAAGACCTTTGTGGGTGGATGTTTTGCCCGAAATGACTTGAACCAGTTGGGGAAAGCACCCGGAGTCCGACCAGTCCAGCGAACGACGGTAGGTCAACCAAAGTATCCTGGGTTTTGACCAGCCATATGAATTTGGTAGAACCCAAACACAATCAAGCTAGTAAACTGTTTGAGTTCGTCTCCCTGTGCCCCAGCTTCAGTGCCTTAGGCACTAGGCCCTAGGCATGCTATAGTGCCCTAGGCTTCGGCGGATGTCACTTCGCGCGCGGGCGCGTGCAGGTCGACACCAACGGTGCGAAAGCATCCGAGTCGAAGCCAAAGGCCGATTTTGATGACGCTGCCTGGGAGAAATGGATGGATCATATATGATTTAGAGGTAAGAACTCAACATGCCAAGCGGAACGCTTCAAAGATGTTGGGACCAACAACAGCGAGTGTTCACGTGTCCATGTTGGTATGTATACTGTAAGTATACTTTCTGCTGAAGGAAAGACTAAGTGACTAAGCCACATGGAAGTTTTCTTTCACGGACTGGGTAGGAGGGGATGTTGACTGTATGCGTGCTGACCGGCATGTCCCGTGTGCCGGAGCTCGACATAAATGAAGAAAAACGCCTCTGGCACTGGAGTTTGTACACCTGATAACCTGCTGATCGGGTGAATAATATGTACTGTATGTTCTATCTTGGTGAATCTCTTGTAGTGAAACTACAGGGAAGATGCTGTGATGTTATCCTTCCTGAAGCAAGCTCCAAGACCCAAGAAACTGAGTCCATCCACCGCGCATCATGCCAAAGATGGCGGAAAACATGGTCTGACCATGTCTGGTCAAAACATGTCCTAAGAGCTTCCCGACGGGTCTGACATGGACTGACCAGTCGGAGGACCTCTTTGAGTTGGCCCACAGGGCTTCGAGCTCGGCCTCGGTTCTCAGGAGTCTGACAAAGAAGAGAAGAAAGAGGAAGAGGATGATGAGGATGGCCTGAAGCTCAGTCAAGCCCAAGCTGCTCAAGCTACCAGCTTGCAGGTGTTTTTGTGTTCTTATGAAGGTTCTTTTTTTCAAGAAATGCAGAGAACAATCTAGGTTCAAAGCATATGCCAATAGGATTGGCTTGGGGAGACGCATGGTGGAGCTGGCTTAGGTGATGTGTTTGTCCGGTGAGAGCTTAAGCTCTCACCAGTTCTTCTGCTTTCGTTGAATCGGTACACAGGTGCCAAGCATTCCTATAGGTTTCATTGGGGAGATCTGTGATCAGTTGGTGTTTCTTAAATGTGTCTTGGTTTTTGTTTTTTTCCATGGGAAGGGTCTGGGACAGGGTCTGGGAAAGTTCCTGAACTCGCAGGACATCACCATCAGCGATGGTGTTCCCATCCTTGCCGGCCTTGATCATGACTGTGGCACCAGAACAACCCTTCTCCGCGTTCATCAACGCGGGCCAAGCAAGAACAACCACCAAAACACCCTCCCTGGAGTTCATCCTTTCGAGGCCATGCCATCCACGCGGTTCATGATGATTCCAGTGAGTGCATCCTTCAACCACCCCCTTTGCTAGACCATTCGCCCATGGATCTACAAAACCCTTAAAGGTTAAAGCATTTCGGGTCGGACAGGTGCCAGCGTCTCGTCTCGTCTCGTCTCGTCTCGTTCGCGAGGCAAATGACCCAGGTCCGAGCCCCCACCCTCCCACGATTCACCCAGAATGAAGGACCTCAGTGAAGATCCCTCAACACAAAGCAAGCGGTACAGGACCTGTCAGTGTTTGACCGATGACTGAAATTCATTGAAGTTACAGGAGTTGCAATTGAATTCAATTAATACCTCTCAAGAGAACCCCAAAAGCATGGACACCTGGTTAGATCATCACTTCTTGCCTTCATCCTTCCGTCTCCAAGACTTCCCCCCGGCAAAAAAAGCGGCGTTCCGAGCGAGTAATGAATTTTCCACCTAGTCCACAGCAGAGCTTAGGTGTGAAGGGGTTGAAATCCTTCAATCCTTCAGCTTGTTTTGGGGGGCCCAACTGAAGCGACCAAGTTCATGAGGAACTTGAGTCATAGACAAAATCTATTGTTTGGGTCGGCCCCCCTGTTTAGCTTCAGAATGGAAAGAGGAAGGGGACCGAACCTGACTATCCCCAGTCAATTCCTGTCGATCACTCGATGACCATGGCTCGAGACTTCTGGACGGAACTCGCGAATGGGCACGGCTTCGTGTAGTGGGATCAGCTTCAGGCAGCACCTATGAGTCTCCGGGACTAGGTGGTTGAGTCAGATGATGTCCCCTTCTGTAGTCCACAGATGTTCGCAGTCACAAAAAGGGAGGTTCCTGGGCCCTCCATTTTTGCTGGCTCAACTAAAACTGGCCAAGCCGCGGCTTAGCCTAAGCCCCTGTTTGTCGCCTGTCAGCCATCCATTGCTTGCACCATGAAAATGGTCGCCTGGCATGTCTAGGCTGTGACCCTGGAACCTGAGGCATGACCTTTCTGTGAGCCGGCAGGAACTTTGCCCGAACGATCTTGCCGAGGACGAGATGGGACCCACCGTGCCTTTGGTGAAGCGAAAAGATCAGAATGGCAGGTGCCAGATGACCACAACCCTGGGACCTCTCTAGGCTCCCAATGTGAAAAAAATACAAACTTAATAGCCTAACTATTATGCTCATGCGAATGGATGTGCAGGAGGTTGTTTATGAGAACTTCCCGATCTTTCTCACGGTTTCTGGGGTCCCCATGTTCGGTTCGCCCCTCAAACTGACCGGTCAGCGATTGCTCCGTCGGTTCTCTCAGGAGGCGATCATCTCGGGTGAAACGCATGCGATGAAGTGAGGTCCTCGGGAAAAAGGATGGCTTTCTGCGCAGCTTCGCGGGGTGTTCCTGTTCCTGAGAGGTGAGCACGGCGAGCCCCTGCTGCAGAGGTGTGTTCGACAAATTGTGGAGCTTGAAGGAAGTTGCTCCCCAACTGTTGTAGCTGAGCATCAGGTGATGTCATGGAATTCTAGGGGTCTTAGGTTTTTTGGGATCCACATCATCTAGACCAGAAGGGCGGATGGACTTGTTATGTAAGACGAAGAGATACCCATCTAAGACCTATCATCATTGGCAGTCCTTGTGTGAAGTATGCGTGTGATTGTCTGATGTTGATAAGTTGATCAGTCTTTCAAATGTGTTTGCTTCTTCATCTTCACACCAGCTTGGGCTTCGGTTTTTTTGGGGTTCCTCGCGTTTTTTTTTGGGTGACCCGGTTGGATCCGCAGAATGAAGCGAATTAGCAATCAAGGCAGGGGAATGAACCATTTGGAGTCCTCCAAAGCTTTAGCAACCGTTTAAACAGTTTAGCAACAGTATCAACCACCAGGTCTGACAGGATACCCGTGATTTGATTGGTGGCTATGGCTCAAGGAGAGCTGAAGAGACCATTTTGGCCGGGTGCGCTAGAGCTGCGCGCCGTGAATTGCAGGTACAGAAGGCGAGTGTTGGGTTAAAGGATTTGGGAGCAGGGGCGAGCTTATCCACAGCAGTGTTGCAGGACATACTAAGATGGAAGTGGAAAATAGGGTTCTGGAAGAGCATGTTGCTAAATTAATAGGAGTCGTACACTTCCATGTCAGCAAGTGGTAGAGGGGCTTCCTTTGTGGTATTCTGAATATGGTTACTCTGAGCATCTCAATCATGCAAAATGACAACAAGGTCCCTGAAGAACACACTGTTCTTTTTTCCCGGTTTGTTGCGTTTTCTGGGCCTCACGAGGGTTTGTCCCAGGGTCCCTGCATGTGTATGTATGTGTACATGGGGTACCCGTACCCCCCTTTAGTTGATTTTAGTTGCTTTAGATTCTTCTCAATTTGGGGTGATGTCATAGAAGCCCTTGAGTACTGAAAACACTTCACCCTGGAGATATGTTTTTGGTGGACCATATATACATGCTATGTTTGTCAAAATCTTGCTATCTCTTGCTATGTTAGGACTTTTCAGGAGTGTGGTTTGCTCCGATGTCGGTTTCTTAGCGAGTCTTTCTTTGACCGAGAAATTTGGGCGAGGCGGTCATGGCGTTGCAAGAGGCGCAGATGTGCTTTGTGCGAAGGACAAGCGCTGCGTGGAATTTCCGCTGACATGAGCCTGCCTCTAAAGAGGCAGCCCAGCTAAGTGAGGTAAATATATTATATTAGGTGTTTCCTGATGTGTTCAATGCTTTCACATATTTTTCATGGTCACACGACGACCCAACAGATACAATGAATCTGAGTCAGGGTTACAACTGAAAATCAATGAATGCTTGAATGATCGCTTCAACCCAATCGCTGTTTGAGTGCTTTGCCATGCTTCGCCTAGGCATGGAGTTTCGGGGACCGTGTTGACCATGTTGATGGAGAGAGACGGGTAGGGTTCCAAACATAAAGCACCATGTCAACCCAGTGGTTTGAAGGACCACACTCGGACAGCACTAGCATCCCAACTGTGCGTGTGTTGTGCATCCAACTGTTTCACCACATCCCAAGAACCTCAAGAGATGAAGGTGTCAACCTCAAGAGATGAAGGTGTCAAC